GATTGGTCTCTTTATTTGAAATCAGAGTTACAGAGAGAGAGGAATAGAAAGGAATATCTACAAAAGTGCAAGCACTTGGGCCATCTTCTGCTGCTTTCCCAGGCACATTAGCAGGGAGCTGGATCAGAAGTGGAGCAGCTGGGACAGGAACCAGCGCCCATATGGGATGCATGTGCTGTAGACGGCGGCTTAACCCACTACACCACAGCGCAGGCCCCTCAAGTGGCATCTTAACCGTGGCATCAAACACACACCCCTATTTTCCGGAGACATTAAATGAGACACCGAGAGGTTCAGGTAGAAGGATACCAGGCCCAGCAGAGAAAGTTATCGCAGGGTGGGAGTGAAGGGGGGCATGAAACATGAGGAACTCTAATATGATACAATTCGCATGTATTGCCTTTTTTTTTTTTTTTTTTTGACAGGCAGAGTGGACAGTGAGAGAGAGACAGAGAGAAAGGTCTTCCTTTGCCGTTGGTTCACCCTCCAATGGCCGCCACGGCCCGTGCACTGCGCTGATCCGATGGCAGGAGCCAGGTACTTCTCCTGGTCTCCCATGGGGTGCCGGGCCCAAGCACTTGGGTCATCCTCCACTGCACTACCGAGCCACAGCAGAGAGCTGGCCTGGAAGGGGGGCAACCGGGACAGAATCCGGTGCCCCGACCGGGACTAGAACCCGGTATGCCGGCGCCGCAAGGTGGAGGATTAGCCTAGTGAGCCACGGCACCGGCCTTCATGTATTGCTTTATTTTTCTTAAAACTTAGATAACATCAGGAAGCCTGAATCCGTAAATATGAGGGATCATCCCCAAAGTACATGTGAAATGCAGGTTATGAGAAACCTATAAATGGATTTCAAAATTTCAAACCAATGTTTGCACCAAAATAAGCTTATTTAATTCCACTTTTTAATTCCACTTTTATCTATTTGATAGAAGAGAGATGAGAGAGAAAGTGAGCTCCCACCTATTGGTTCACTCCCCAGATGCCCACAACAACTAGGGCTGGGCAAGGGTCAGGCTTTGACCACAGCTGAGAACGGGGAACTCAATCCACATCTTCCATGTGGGGGAGGGCAGGGACCCAACTACCTGAGCCATCGCCGCTGCCCTCCCGGTCTGCATTAGCAGCAAGTGGGGAGCAAAGCTGGATCTGGAACCTAAGCACTCTGATGCAGGGCACTGGGTCTCAACTGCTGGCTTAAACTCTCATCCTTAAATCTATTTTCCTATAACATCTGTGAAGTACCCTGATTACCTTCATGACAGCCAGAGTATGTAACTGGCTCTGGACTTTGCAGCTTAAAAAGACTGGATAGGAACAAGTGCCTAGTGGGTTAAGCTGCCACCTGCAGTGCTGGCAACCCATATGGGCACTGGTTCTATCCTGGCTGCCCCACTTCCGATCCAGCTCCATGCTAATGTGCCTGGGAAAGCAGCAGAGGATGGATAAGTGCTCGGGCCCCTGCCACCCACGTGGGAGACCCGAATGAAACTCCTGGCCCCCAGTTTTACGGTGGCCCAGCCCCAGCTGTTGTGGCCATTTGGGGAATGAACCAGCAGATGGAAGACATCTCTCTCTGTTTCTCCCCCACTTTCTTTCTAACTCTGCCTCTCAAATAAAATAAACCTAAAAAATTAAAAAAAAAAAAAAAAGACATTACTACGTTACTAGGGATACTCAGAGTCCAAACTGGAGTACCTGGATTTGATACCCAGCTCTGGCACCTGACTCCAGCTTCCTGCTAACCCCTGGAGGCAGCAATGATGGCTCAGGTAATTCAGTTTCTTCTGCTACCCGCTTGGAAGACCTGGGTTGAGTTCCTCTCAGCTTCGGCCCTGGCCCAACCATGGCCATTTTGAGCATTTGGGGAGTGATCCAACTAATGGGAATGCACTATCTCTCTCTCGATCTCTCTCGATCTCTCTCTCTCTCTCCCTCTCCACCCCCCTTAAATAAATAAATTAAAAAAAAAAAAAAGACTGGATGGCTACAGGATCAGAAAACCTGAAAGTAGTCAAATATAATTAAGTATAGTGAAAAGCTGTGTACTCCTCCCTGGCATGGGACGGCCTTAAAAGCAATTTTCTTCATAGGGGAATTCTCCCAGGAGAGATTTTGTAATCTTGGGGTGCATAAGCATTTGGTTCCGTTGACATGCTGGGACTTTTTCATTCTAAAAACCATGTATATTTCATGTTTACTTGAATGCATGTAGCACGCCAAAACCTAGGTGCAGTGATCCTGCACACAGCAAGCCAATCCCAGACTCCGGGGTGGGTGGTGGAAGAAAGTATTTATTTTGTAATGCACAGAGCAAAGAGGCTGCTAACACTCAATTCACAGAACCCGCGAGGGATTAAGAGAGTTGACTCTTTATTAATTTGTTTATTTGAGAGGCAGAGAGACAGCTCTCATCTGCTGGCTCACTCCCCAAATGCCCACAATGACCAGGGCTGGGCCAAGTTGAAGTTGGGAGACAGGAACTCAGTCCAGGTCTCCCACAGAAGTAACAGGGACCCAGCCATCGCCCACTACCTCCCAGGGTGCACATTAGCAGGAAGCTGGAGTCAGGAGAGAGACTCGGAGCCAGTCTCTCTAATATGGGATAGAGTTCCAGGGGGCATCCTCACCACGGAGCCAAAGGCCAGCCCCCAAAAACAGTACACTTTTTTTTTAATGTGCAGTTTGTTAAATGTTAATTATATCTCTATAAACCTGTCAAAAGAGCAATAACAAATCCTGCAGTGTCCAAGCCACGAAGTTCATGTCAGGGCTCTGGCCTGGCACCTCAGCATCGGTGCCTCCTGAGGACCTCAGCTGAGGCTAGTGTGGGACCCCACCCAGGCTGCACCTGCCGGACAGACGTCCACCCCCCCACCCCCCCAACCCGAGCCTGCGCAGGCGCACAGTGGCAGCCACCTGCAAGGACGTGAACACGCAGAAGCCCGAGATGGTCGTGGAAGTCAGTGACCAACCGGGCAACATGGAGCCCGATGTGCACGTGCTCACCCAAGCTCAGTGACCTGGGAGCTGCCACCATCACCCGAGCCATGAGAAGTGCCGGCTCAGCCCGCCGAGCCTGAGAGGCGCCGCCATCAGCACCGTCCAGTCCAGGCTTCTGCCCGGAGGCCGGCTTGCCCCGGGGGCGCCGACCTGGAGGGTGCGGACTTTTGCGTTCTCCACGGACAGGCACAAGGAGCTGCTCAGCCCAGGCACGAGAGGGACGTCCAACATCCAGGCCACTGTCTCCACAGTACCGCGTCCCTGTTCTGCCCGGCCCGGGCCCCCACGCCTTCGGTCCAGTAAATTGCTGACACCGCCCCTCCCCGGAAAGAGTGCGAGGGGTGGGGGGATGGACAAGGAGTGGCCGCCGCTGCCATGGTGCGGAGGACGGAGGTGGCGCGGGTGAAAGACGGCCAAGTCCACTAGGTGGCACCTGGACACGTCTCTCTCGCTGATTTCTGACCGGTCGCTTCTGGGCCTGGCTCGGCTCCCTACCTCGTTCCCTGGATGAGGAATGTCTGCAGACTCGAGAGAAGCGAAAACCACCTGCAACAGGGGACGATGGGAGGCGGGCCCAGAGCGCCCTCCGAGATTAGATGGTGGCAACTTGAGCCTTCCTCCGCAGTGCAAAGAGCAGAGCGTTTGTTCAGAGTCAGTGACTCCGGCAGGCACCCCGCGCCCGCTTCCCGCATGAAGGGATGTTCCTTGCCTGTTGGGTTTTGCTTTAACCCAGGCACCCTGGCTTTGGGCCACTCATTTAAAGGCCGCCGTAGGTAGAGCCACAGTTGCTCTCCCAGGTGACCCCAGGTCTTTGGTCAACCCTGAAGGCTCAAGCACGAGTAGGGGATGCATGATTTCAGCTCTCCTGTTGGTGTTTCACTGCCTCCTTCTACCACGGAACATAAAGCCAGAGCCCAGGGAAGTGGCTCGAAGAAAACAAAGCACACCTGAGCAGTAACACCCACGTTGATAGTTTTCTAATTCTCCGCAGAAACCAGGAGGAACCAGGGTCACAGAGGGTCCTGGGATCCACAGACTCTGGAGTAATGTATCTGCTTTGTCTGCTTCGCTGTGTCCCCTGGGTCAGGCGCCAGTGAACTCTGTCACCAGGACCACCCAGCCACACCTCTGTGAGAACAGTATAAATAAAAGTGCACGGATCATACACACACCTGTGCCATTCTATGTGCGCCCCAACTTGCCGCTCCTTCCGTCTGTTGGGGGAGAGGCAGGTGGGGAATCCCACCTGTTTTTTCTTTTTTCTGCTAAAAAGTTTGCAGAGCACTCTCCCACCTCCCTGTGAAAGACCTTGCTTCTTATAAACCCACACCAGCATGACAGGTGTGGGCAGTGTTCCCCGGTCTTTTCAGGGAGTCGGCTCCTGCCCTCCTTGGAATGTCCCCTCCAGACTGAGGACAAATCGTCTCAAGATTCTGTAAGGATAAAGTGGCTGCCATCCCTCAGGGGCCTCTGTAGGCCGGTTATTTCTTTGATCAGGGCTGGAAGTTGCTATAAAACATCGCAAAATAAAGTCTAGCGTTAGGGTATTAGCTATGGAGGTGATGGCTGAATTTTGAGTCTTGCATTCTGGGGTCCTTTGGGCCAGGTTTTCATTTAGTGAGTTAATCTTTAGTAAGGAGTTGAATTTGTCTCTAAGATGTATTTATTTATTTGAAAGGCAGGCAGTGAAGAAAGAGGACCCGTAAGTCAGGGGAGAGACTGGGGCCCGCCAATGGCCATATCAAAGGCATTAGGAATGGGCCGGGTGGCAGGACTAACACTTGAAGCCTCAGCGTTGGATCAACGACTGAGACACAGGCTAGAAAAGGCAATCAGGCCGTCCCCCGCAGCAGGACAGTGACACCGGCCCACGAGCGGTGCGCCTCCCCTGCGCCTAACCGCTCGCCACACCCACCCAGGCCTCCGCCCCGCCGCAGCGGAAGTCGAGTCGTCGGCGCGGGGAGGTGCCTCACGTGACCACGCTGGGCGTGGGGGGCGGAGCCAACCGGTCTCCGCGCCCGCTGGTCACCTAGCAACGGCCAGACGCGGCGAGATGGAGGGCGCCGGCAGCAGGGAGCGCCAAGCGAGGGAGTATCTGGAGAAACATCGGATCATGGAGTTGCTGAACCACCTCACCAGCGTCCTCCTCTTTTTCCGGCCAGGTAGGTGTCTTGCGTCTCGCTTGGCTTTCCGCTCCGGCCGCCTCCTTACGTGAGCAGTCCCTGCTCGCTCGCGCCCCCAGACCCCCAGCATCTGCCACGCGAGTGCCCCCTTCTCCGCTCCCACACACTTTCCCCCCTGCACCCCCAACCCCGGTCCCCCTCGCCCTCCTGCTGCTGATTAACTCTGTGACTTTCAATTAAGCGAGTACTTAGCGAACGGTCTCTGTGCCAGCTGCGACAGGCTTGCGAAAGAGGTGCCTAGCTCCACCCCTTAGGGCCAGGTGTCTAAGGGCCAGACCCTGAGTTTCTGCGTCCTCCGGTGGGAAAGGGAGACCGTGAGGGTACTCATTTCGGGGGAGAGTCGGGGAGACTGAATGAGGAATATACGGTGTAGCCTTACACCTGGCAGGTGCTAGCCCTGCTCTCAAGTAGTAAGGGAACTTCCCAGTGGTAGGGTGAAATCGAAGCTCGCCGAAGGAGACTGCTATCCTTGACACGACTAAACCCCTTACAGAGTTTGAATCATCCCATCCTTTTTGTGTGGGGTGTGATTAAGAAGTTCTGTGAAGGTGAAAATAGTTTTATTTTTTAAAAAATATTTATTTGAAAGTCAGGGTTACACAGAGAGAGGAGAGGCAGAGAGATAGAGAGAGAGAGAGAGAGAGAGAGAGAGAGAGAGGTCTTCCATCCACTGGATCACTCCCCAGATGGCCACAACAGCCGGAGCCGCGTCCATCCGAAGCCAGGAGCCAGGTGTTTCTTCCGGGTCTCCCACATGGTGCAGGGGCCCAAGGACTTGGGCCATCTTCTACTGCCCTTCCAGGCCACAGCAGAGAGCTGGACTGGAAATGGAGCAGCTGGGTCTCGAACCGGCACCCATATGGGATGGTGGCACTTCAGGCCAGGGTTTTAACCCACTGCGCCACAGCACCAGCCCTGAAAATAGTTTTATGTGTCACTTGCAGAATTGTCACTTGTCATATGGAGTGCCCGAATGCCAGAGGGTTCACTGGCTTCTGTGGAAGGAAATGGAAATACTGAACATTCTGACTTTGCCATCAGCCCCCTAACCAATGTGGTCTGAATAGGATGATAAAGTGTTTGTCAGTTCTTTTAAAGTGATAAAGAAAAAAATTATTGAAACATTTATTTATTTGGAAGGCAGTGTTTGTGGGGGTGGGGGGAGTCTTTGCTTTGCTGATCCACTCCCTAAATGGCAGAAACCTCTGGGATTATGCCAGACAGAAGCCAGGAGTCTGGAGACCCAGGCACTCGGGCCATCTTCCACTGCCTTTCCAGGTGCATTAGCAGAGTGCTGGATGGGAAGGGGAGCAGCCAGGACTTGAAGCAGCATTCACAGAGGATGCTGGAGTTGCAGGCAGTGGCTTAACCCTCTGCGTCACCATGGCCACTGCTCAAATTAAATATTTTTAAAGATTTATTTATTTTATTTGAAAAGCAGAGTTGCAGAGAGAGAGAGACAGACAGACAGGTCTTCCACCTGCTGGTTCACTCCCCAAATGGCTGAAATGGCTGGAGCTGGCTGATCCAAAGCCGGGAGCCGGGAGCCGGGAGCTTCCTCTGGGTCTCCTACACAGGTACAGGGGCCTAAGCACTTAGGCCATCTTCTACTGTTTTCCCAGGCCACAGCAGAGAGCTGGATTGGAAGACAAGCAGCCGGGACTGGAACCGGCACCCATATGGGATGCTGGCAGTTCAGGCCAGGGCTTTAACTCTCTGTGCCACAGCGCCGGCCCTTCAAATTAAATTTTAAAAGCCTACTTTTGAGAAGGGAATAGGTGTTTATCACAGCAGTTAAGACACTGCTTGGGATGGTTGCTTCGCATATCTGAGTACCTGAATTCAAGGCCTGGCTTTGCTTCCAATTTCAGCTTCCTGCTAACGCAGGCCCTGGGAAGCAGCAAATGGTAGCTCAAGTACTCGGGTCCCCACATGAGAGACCTGAATTGAACTCTAGGCACTTGGCTTCAACCTGGCCCAACCCCAGCTGTTGCAGGCGTTGAGGGGACAGTCACTGTCTGTTTCTGGCTCTCTCTGATTCTCAACTAAGTTAACATTGAAATTAAAATGTCTTATCCTACACTCAAAACTTGCTAACTGGAATGGATAGAATTCTAGGTTGGGATATACGGCTGACAGAATTTTGAGGGCATTGTTCCTTTGTCTTTGTTCTAAAGATTTATTTATTTTGAAAGTCAGAGTTAGAGGGAGAAGGAAAGATAGATTTTTTTTAGCAAAGTTACAGAGAGAGGTAGAGCCAGAGAGAGAGAGAGAGAGAGATATCTTCCATTCCGCTGATTCACTCTTCACATGACCACAATGGCCAGAGCTGAGCTGATCCAAAGCCAGGAGCCAGGAGCTTCTTCTGGGTCTCCCATGCGGGTGCAGGGGCCCAAGGACTTGGGCCATCTTCTACTGCTTTCTCAGGCCATAGCAGAGAGCTGGATCAGAAGAGGAGCAGCTGGGACTAGAACCGGCACCCATATGGGATGCCGGCACTTCAGGCCAGGGCTTTTACCCGCTGCATCACAGCACCGGCCTCAAAAGAGAGATAGATCTTCCATCCACTGGTACACTCCCCAGATGGCTACAACGACCAGGGTGGGGCCAGGCCAAAGCCAGGAACTTCATCCAGGTCTTCCACATGGGTGTCAGGGGCCCAAACATTAGGGCCATCTCTGCTGGGCCTTTTGCAGGCCATTAGCAGGGAAGTGGATTAGAAGTAGAGTAGCCAGGACACAAACCAACACCCATATGTGATGCCATTTTTGCAGGCGACAGCTTTACCCACTGTGCCACAATACCAGCTCCACCATCAGATTCTTGATTGTGTATGAGCCATGTTTTATCTTTCTGGAAGTTTTTTAGGATTGTGAAATTTTTATCTTACCCCTAGTGTTCTAAAAATTTAAATGCCTGCAGTAGTTTTGTTGTTGTTTTTAGTTTATTGTACTAGATATTTTGTGGTCTTTTTAAACTGGTAGACTATTTTCTTTCAGGTCTGGTACATCTCTTTCTTGCTTTCCTAACTTATTTCTTTCTTCCTTTCTGAAATTGTTACTAGTTAGATATTGTATATCCTGTCCCCATTCTTTAATTTTCTTGACATCTTGATATGATATATAATTTGATCAGAAAACAGGCCTCACCGCAGCTCACTAGGCTAATCCTCTGCCTTGCGGCGCCGGCACACCGGGTTCTAGTCCCGGTCGGGGCGCCGGATTCTGTCCCGGTTGCCCCCCTTCCAGGCCAGCTCTCTGCTGTGGCCAGGGAGTGCAGTGGAGGATGGCCCAAGTGCTTGGGCCCTGCACCCCATGGGAGACCAGGATAAGCACCTGGCTCCTGCCATCGGATCAGCACGGTGCGCCGGCCGTGCCGGCCATTGGAGGGTGAACCAATGGCACAGGAAGACCTTTCTCTCTGTCTCTCTCTCTCACTGTCCACTCTGCCTGATTCTCCCAAGGCTGTGGTAGTCAAAAGGGGAGTAACCTAGCAGATGGAAGATTCTGCTACTCTGCCTTTCAAATAACTAAATCTTTTTTTTTTTTTTTTTTTTTTGACAGGCAGAGTGGACAGTGAGAGAGACAGAGAGAAAGGTCTTCCTTTGCCGTTGGTTCACCCTCTAATGGCCGCCGCGGCCGGCGTGCTGCGGCCGGCGCACCACGCTGATCCAAAGGCAGGAGCCAGGTACTTATCCTGGTCTCCCATGGGGTGCAGGGCCCAAGCACTTGGGCCATCCTGCACTGCCCTCCCGGGCCACAGCAGAGAGCTGGACTGGAAGAGGAGGAACCAGGACTAGAACCTGGCGCCCATATGAGATGCCGGCGCCAAAGGAGGAGGATTAGCCTAGTGAGCCATGGCGCCGGCCCAAGATTTATTTATTTATTTGAAAGAGTTACACAGAGAGAGGAGTGGCGGGGGTGGAGGGGGTGTCTTCCATCTGCTGGTTCACTCCCCAAATAGCTGCAACCATCAGAGCTGCACCAATCCGAAGTTAGGAGCCAGGAGCTTCCTTCGGGTTTCCCATGTGGGTGTAGGGGCCCAAGGACTTGGGCCATCTTCCACTGCTTTCCCAGACCACAGCAGAGAGCTGGATCAGAAGTAGAGCAGCCAGGACTCGAACCAGTGCCCTTATGGGATCCCGGCACTGCAGATGGTGGCTTTACTCACTATGCCACAGTGCCGGCCCCTAATATTTTCAACATTAAGATGCTGTTCTCACATTTAAACATGTGAACTCCAGAGGTGAGGAGGGAAAGCCAGAGCTGTGGAATCACTGACCTAGGACAAGGAGGAAAATCTAACGCATGATGCTGGCATGCAGAGTTTCAAATAAATAAATAAATCTTTTTAAAAAAGAAAAAGAAAGAAAACCTTGGAATCGTAGGGGAGTTACAGAAAATCAGACTAGACGGACTGCTTGAGGTATGCTGTTGAGAGAGCGAGTCCACAGTCCCACACCTCGCTTCCAAAATGCTCTGAAAAGCCGCAGATTTTCATGAGCCTAACACCAAAGGCTGAAGTCATTTGGTGGGGAAATCTGGCCTTATCTAGGATGGCTGTATTAGGATACATAAGTCGATGTCTGAGCAGCCAGTTCCCAGCAACAGTTCTGTGCTAAAGGAGAGAATATGGACTTTTAGTCCATTAGCCCCACCCTGGTCGTTGTAGCCATCTGGGGAGTGAACCAGTGGATGGAAGATCTATCTCTCTTTTGAGGCCGGTGCTGTGATGCAGCGGGTTAAAGCCCTGGCCTGAAGAGCCGGCATCCCATATGGGCACCGGTTCTAGTTCCAGCTGCTCCTCTTCCGCTTGTTCACTCCTCAGATGGCCACAACAGCCGGAGCTGCACCAATCTAAAGCCAGGAGCCAGGAGCTTCTTTCAGGTCTCCCATGCAGGTGCAGGGGCCCAACGACTTGGGCCATCTTCTGCTGCTTTCCTGGGCCATAGCAGAGAGCTGGATAGGAAGTGAAGCAGCTATGCCAGTGCTGGCCCCTTTAATACTGATTTTTAAAGTTTAAGGGGGAGCGCTATGAGGTAGCGGGTAGCGCCGCCACCTGCAGTGCTGGCATCCAAATGGGCACTGGTTTGAGTCCCAGCTGCTTCACTTCTGATCCAGCTTTCTGCTATGGGAAAGCACTAGAGGATGGCCCAAGTCCTTGGGCCCCTGCACCCGCATGGGAGACCCGGAAGAAGCTCCTGGATCATAGCTCTGGCTGTGGCAACCATCTAGGGAGAGAACTAGCGGATGGAAGACCTCTCTCTCTCTCTCTCTCTCTCTCTGCCTCTCTGTAACTCTGCCTTTCAAATAAAATCTTTACAGAAAAATGTTTAAAATCTGACATTTGTAAAACAATTGGAAATTTGAATTTTACCTATTTGAGTATACTAAACCTTTCTTGGAAGTGAGTGGTATTATAGTAGTGGCATTATGGTAATATGGAAAACAAAAAAGTCATTTTTTATAGAAGTGCATGCAAATATTTATTAATAAAATATGATTGCTTTGATTAGATCTGAAATAATATAGGAACAGTGGATGAGGTTATCATGAAATAAGATTGGCCACAAATTCTAACAGTTGAAGTTGTTGATGGGTTAATTATACTTTTGTAAACAGAAGACATCCTCAGTAGTAACATAACTTGAAAAGAATGAAGGGGCAGGCATTGTGAATACTGTGATTGAGGCACCCACATCCCATATCAGAGTACCTGCGTTGAGTCCCAGCTCCACTTCCGATTCCAGCTTCCTGCTGGCAGCCGGTGATGGCTCAAGTGTTTAGTCCCTGTCACCCACATGGGAGACCCAGATTGAATTCCCAATTCCAAGCTTCAATCCTGGCCTGGGCTCTGCTGTTGCAGGTAGATGTTTCTGTGTCTCTCTGCCTTTCAAAACACACACATACACTTGTGTGTGTGTGTATATAAAGTTCTTTAAAAAGAATGAAAAAATATATGAGTAAAGCCCAGGATTGAAACAACATGACGGCGCAGTGGGAACCGCAGTTAGTCTCAAGGGCTGCATCTTTGTTTCTTCTGGCATCATCACGATTGTCCTCTGCTACTCCTGGAAAGTGCATTGATCTTGATTGTCTACAAAATTGCTTAAATGCAAGCTTGTTTATCCCAAACACTGCTTTTCTGTTAGAAATAAACATTCATGATTCCCAGCTAAAAGACTGTGCTTACCTAAGTTTCTGTATCCCTTTGTTTAGCTGGCCAACTTCTTCCCTGCATCTTGCTGTCCTTTTTGCTGTTGTTTGTTTTTTTCAACCCTGGCTGCAAACTAGAATTACCAGTTCCTGGACTTTTCTATCACTATTTGAGGTAGGGCACTTGTAAATTGATCGTTCGCTGTGTTATTTTTCTGCTAGACAAGAAAGGAAGTCCTGTTTCCCATTGCCTAGAACACCTTGCACGTGGGTGCTTAATAATTGTTAAATGGCTGCTTTCGCTTGTGACACATTTTACCTTTGTATCAGAAAGATTTCAAACTATTGTTTTGCAGAAAAACCAAGAGACTACTTAATAACTCTGTTGGAACGTCTGAGAATTGCCAAAGAAACAGGCATAGCTTTTCCTTTCTTTATGGACAACTCGAACATTGTGGCCATGTTTGAGATGATGGACTCTGCAGGCAGAGGCGCCATATCGTTTGTGCAGTATAAAGAAGGTCAGTATCTCCTGCAGGTTGAGCTAACAGTCTGTGGTTGGTCCACTTGTCATCACTATAAGATACCCAGATGCACTTCTTGGGGAAGTTTATAGGCTGGAGGTTACAGTGCAGCATCAGGAGGCCCCTTGGTCTGGATCTGATGAAGGCTGGGCTTAGTGGGTGTGGAAGAATGGTCACGTGTTAGGCCAGGGAGCAGGGAGAACTGCTAGGTAGAGCTCGGACTCAAAATGACCAGTCGTCTCACAAGATCCATCTCAGAGGCCATAGTTAGTTCCAGTCTTCACTGCTAATCCATCACCATTAAGAGATCTGCATGAATTTTGGGGAGACAAGTACTGCTGTACCCATATCATTCTGAAAATAATTCACTTTGTAAATACTCTTGTCTTCTGACTTTTACAGCCCTAAAAACCCTGGGTCTGTGTACTGCAGATGAAGTTTTAAAAGGTGAAGGACACATAGTAACTTTGGATCAATTCAGGGATGAAGTGTAAGTCTACTTTTAAATGAGTATTTTAATTACATGGCATGATTTTTAAATATTAATACCACTAAAAACAAGTTCCTAGCTTTTGGGAGGAACATTTCATTACCTGGGAACTCGGCTGACTACAAAGTGAGGACAGGGAAGGCAGACAGTACAGGCGCTAAGCCCGGGAAGAGGAGCATGGAAATCATGGAGCTGGGAAGTTCCAGAGGGTGCGTCCTCCTCTTCTCAGAGGGAAACTTCAGTAATTCTCAAGAATGAGGTGAAGATGCCCCAGCCTGCTAAGAGAACCAACAAAAAGGCTTTCCCAACACTAGTTGGGAAATCTCTGTATAGTCACAGAATTTATCTAAAAAATATTTCTTCAGAATTGTTTATTGCAAAGTAAATGTTTAGCAACAGTATAGGTTACTTGTGGCCTGACAATTTTGGACTTGAGGTATTATAGCAATAGTGCTAAGTAAATGCTAAGTCAGAAAACAAAAAAGTCACTGGAATAACATTTGATAGTTGTAGAAGGCCGCCAGCTAAACCTAGCTCAGTCTGTTTAATTTTGCTCTGAGACAGGCAAGCAGTAGAGCCACCTGGAGATAACAGTTCTGATATTGCTCTGAAGATAAACAGACCCCATGCTTGGGCAGGCTCACCCCAGCTTAGGAGGCCAAAGCTGGCCAAGACTGACTACAGTTCACTACAGACTCATTATTAATTCCTTAGCATGCTAAATGACTCACCAGCTAGCCACCATGACAGCAAGTATCAGACCATGTAAAGAGTGAAAAGGGGTTATGGGTAGGTTCCAGGAAATCTCTGCCTACTTCCCAGAAAAACCATGAATGTACCCTTCCCTTTCATTAGATGCCCCATCTGTTGTTAAACACAGTTCAGAGACAGGGCCACGCTCCTCCAAGTAGGCCCTTCTCTGTGCAGTGGGCACCATTTCTTTCTCAGTAAAACGCTTGTTGCTCACTCTTTGCTAATCTCCAACTCACTCCTGAATTCCTTCCTGAAGCAAAGCCAAGGACGTGGGTACCAGGCAGACCTTGTATCTGGTTCCACGAGGATCTGTGAACCAAGAAACCATTATTTAGTACAGCCAAGGCCAAGGAAAAGTTAGAAAAAGGAAAGCTGAGTTTTTCATCTCATCATCAGTCACATAAATACTAAACCAAAGTGTTTAGCTATCTTCCCACCCCGGGGGAAGGCAGAGGCAGAGTCTCACCCAGAGAGAGAAGGATGCTACTGTAAAGGAGGCTGGAACTAGGAAGTATTTTAAAAGGAGGACATCTGTGGAGAATGAGAATAATCCTAACTTATTCCCCAGTTCTTATGTGTTTTCTATGGCAATACATTGAATTCCCAAAGTAGATATAGGAACCTCAATTACAAACGTGCATTATATAGTGATTTAAAAAAAAAAAAAAACACAACTGTATTGGTTGTGTTTGATTATTCACAATAGTTTTTCTTAATTAGCAAAGGAAACTGAAGTTGGTTATAATTTATTTTCTCTGCTCTTGTGCTTTCCTCGATGACACATTCAGCATTTATATTTGAAAGTGGAATTATTCTGATTTTTCATGAGTTTTTGTTTTTGTTTTCTTAGGAACAAGAGGACTCTGGAAATATGGTCATCATTTTAATAACACCCTGAATCCATGATAATAATGATTCTGTAAAGTTTTCAGTTGTCCAGTTTCATTAATTCAGAACTTTATCATATAATTAGAAAGCCAACAGGCTTCCTCTTTGTTTTAAAAAAATTTTTTTTCTGAAGACACATTATTTTCCAGTGTTGGGCCAGTTTGTCCTCAAGTTAAGTAGAATCTCAACATCTTGTTGAGCCAGTTTGTAAATCCCAAGTTCATTTAACGCCGCGGTAGCGGGAAGCTGTCCGGAGGCCGACTGCAGCACGTCTTTCAGGAGCAGTGCAGAACCAATGTTCAAATTCAGAACAATACAGGCTTCTTTGACACTGTTTCAGGGGGAAGGGAAAGGAGGCAAATGAGATTATGGTTCTCTGTGAGACCCAAGAACAATTTCATTCTGACAGACACCTTCCCTCACTGTTGGCCCACATGGCCTCTATAAGAACTGTTTATGGATTTGTTATTTGGCTCTTTTGGGACCACAGCATGCAGAGTTTAGGGTGCACTCAGTTACTATAAGGTAAAGGATCATTGCTTTCAATAAGGACCCACTGCTTCCCCAAATACAACACTTGATACTAACAGTCTATCAGGTGTGGTTACCACTTTAGGCAGATTAGGACATGAGAAGAGGAAAAATTAAGGGAAAGCAGCACAAAGGTAGAATACTAAAATAAAGAAAAAACACAAAATAGGTATACCTTTCTAAAACAAGCAAACATGTTCATTTTATAGTAAGCTCAAAAGGGATGCTTTAAAATCTCAAAACCTTGTACCTAACTTTAAATCAACAAATTGTGAAAATATTTCTAAGAATTTTACTCTGACATACGTTTATAAATACAGTTAGAACTAAGATTAATATGAATTGTTTAATTAACTTTATTTAGGCCTGACCTAATTTCTTACATTTACTGAATATGGCACTTGCTGTCTTTTTCTATTTATTCCTGCAGTATTAGGCAAACAGAAGCAATAAAACATATGCTAAGAAACAAAACTCTGGGGCCAGCATTGTGGTACAGTGGGTTAAGCTACTGCCTGTGACACTGGCACCCCATATGAGCGCCAGTTCAGTCCTGGATGCTGTACTTTCTACCCAGCTCCCTGCTAACAAGTCTGAGAAGGCAGCGGAGGTGGCCCAAGTGCTTGCTTGGGTTCCTGTCACCTACATGGGTGACAAGAGATGGCGTTCCAAGTCCTGGTTTCAGACCTGTTGCAGCCAGCTGAGGAATGACACAGCAGATAGAAGATAGCTATCTCTCCCTCTGTCACTCTGCATTTCAAATAAATAAAAATAAAAGAAACTAAGTCCAACATATTTTACAGTGAGTTCTGGTAAATATTTTGAGATCACAGGTCATGTATTATTTTTATGTCCCCACTGTGCTCTGAACATACATTAGATATACAATGTTTTTAAAAAAATTTTTTTTTTTTTTTTTTTTTTGACAGGCAGAGTGGTCAGTGAGAGAGAGAAAGGTCTTCCTTTTCCGTTGGTTCACTCCTCAATGGCCGCTGCGGCTGGCGCGCTGCAGCTGGTGCACTGCGCTGATCCGAAGCCAGGAGCCAGGTGCTTCTCCTGTTTCTTCCATGCAGGCGCAGGGCCCAAGCACTTGGGCCATCCTCCACTGCACTCCCAGGCCACAGCAGAGGGCTGGACTGGAAGAGGAGCAACCGGGACAGAATCTGGTGCCCCGACCGGGACTAGAACCCGGTGTGCCAGCGCCGCAAGGCGGAGGATTAGCCTAGTGAGCCGCAGCGCCAGCCACAATGTTTTAAATTTTTCACTTCAAAAAAAAATTTTTTAATTGGCCTCATTCTACCAAACATCTTGGAACCCTAAAGTTGTTAACAATTTAATATATCAACATGCATTGTTAATACTAAACTTACTGTTTAAAATAATTTTCTGGCCTCTTGCAATAGTGAGAAAACAATGGGAAGAGATTCCGGGTCATATCAAACTGCAACTGGGCTGCTCCTCCTTCGTTGAAGTGATTAGCAAGAATGATCTGAAACAAAGAAAATTGCCTTTACCAGTTGCCTTATAATCGCAGGCACCAGATACAGCCTATGCTTACTTACTTCTTGGTAGATGTATACGTCCAGCTTCTCTACAAGCATTTGCCAGAAAGTTTTGAATAGGGAGAAACAAAGCTGCTGCTCCAGCTGAAGTAAGCGGTCTCGTAACGTAAGCAGTAGCGGGCAGGCAGAACTGGACAGGGACATGACCGCCTGCTCCGACTGCGAGGGCAAAGACAGCCACCTGGAAGAAACACTCCTTTTTACCAAAACAGCTTTCACCCTTTTGTATTTTTTTTTTTTAAGATTTATTTACTTATTTGAAAGGCACAGTTAGAAGGAGAGAGAAAAAGAGATCTTCCATCTGCTGGTTCACTCCCCAAATGGCCTCAACATCCGGGGCTGGAGCAGGCTGGAGCCGGGATCCCAGAGCTTCTTTCAGGTCTCCCACACGAGTGCAGGGGCCCAAGCTCTTGAGTCATCTGCTGCTGCTTTCCCAGGATCAGAAGTGGAGCTGCTGGGCCTCAAACCGGAACCCAAATGGGATGCCAGCGTCACAGGTGGAGGCCTTACCTGCTATGCCACAATGCCAGTCCCATCTTCTTTGTATTTATTTTATTTTATTTTATTTATTTATTTATTTTGACAGGCAGAGTGGACAGTGAGAGAGAGAGACAGAGAGAAAGGTCTTCCTTTGCTGTTGGTTCACCCCTCCACAATGGCCGCTGCGGCCGGTGCACTACAGCCGGCGCACCACGCTGATCCGAAGCCAGGAGCCAGGCGCTTCTCCTGGTCTCCCGTGCGGGTACAGGGCCCAAGCACTTGGGCCATCCTCCACTGCACTCCCGGGCCACAGCAGAGAGCTGGACTGGAAGAGGAGCAACGGGACAGAATCCGGCGCCCCAACTGGGACTAGAACCTGGTGTGCCGGCGCCGCAGGCGGAGGATTAGTCTATTGAGCTATGGCGGCGCTGGCCTGTATTTTTAAAGTGTTAACATATCATTTTAAATCTGGGGAAGTATACTGTCCTGGGCAATGGTGGATAAGAAAAAAAAGTAAGGGGCGAGCACTGTGGCGTAGCAGGTAAAGCTACCACCTGCAGCGCTGGTCTCTCCTATGGGTGCCGGTTCAAGTCCCAGCTGCCAGCCCTCTGCTATGGCCTGGGAAAGCGGTAGAAAGCATGGGAGTCCTGGAAGAAGCTCCTGGCTCCTGGCTTTGGATTGGCACAGCTCTGGCTGTTGAGGCCAACTGGGGAGTGAACCAGCAGATGGAAAACCTCTCTCTTTCTCTGCCTCTCCTTTCTCTCTGTGTAGTCTGCCTTTCAAATAAATAAATAAATCTTTAAAAGAAAATAAGTCCAACATTAAATGCTCTATCAGAAAACATATGTACTTCTATTTATATTTTAGCTCTCAATTAAATTTCCTTTTATTTAGTGAGGATAAGTGTTCCTAGAAAATGCCCATATTTTAATGACTTGATATAAAATTTAAAATTTTAAATGTATATTTTAAGACATCAACTACTTTTATACTCTGATTTTCAGTAAAAGCAATGAGGACTAGTAACACCTCTGAAATGACCATACATACAGAGGTCCTGACTTAAATGGTTGACCTTTAGGGGCCAGTGTTGTGGGGCAGTGAGTTAGGCTGCTGCTTGCAACACTACATGAGTACCAGTTTGAATCCAAGTTGCTCCAATTGTGATCCACCCCCCTGCTAACGTGTCTGAGAAGGCAGTGGAAGACAGCCCAGGTACTTGGGCCCCTTCCCACTCATGTGGGTGACCTGGGTGAAGCTCTAGGCTCCTGGCTTCAGCCTGGCCCAGCCCCAGTTGTGTGGTCATTTGGGGAGTGAGCCAGCAGAAGGAAGTTCTCTCTCTCTCCCCCTCTCTCTAACTCTGCTTTTTTTTAATAAATAAATCTTTTTAAAAACATAGTTTGACTTAGAATTTTGCAATTTTATAATGATGTGAAAGCAGTGTGGATTCAGTAAAAGCACACTTTGAATCTAATCTTCCCAATGAGAGTAGCATAACACTAGGCAGTGACAGCTGCCATCAGGAGGGTATATAACAGATACTCTACTGTGTACTGTGTTGCTAAGCTATGATGTTTAGTAGGATAAGTATATTAAATGCATTTTTAACTTATTTCCAACTTAGTATTTCCAACTTAGAATGGGCTTATCGGGATGTAACCTCATCATAACTGGGGGAGCATTTGTACTCTGGCTGTGCTAGGATAAACACACACTGCCTGCTCTCAAGCATGTCTCATTCTTGGGGGTACCAAAGGTGTCCATGGGAATTATGATAGTGGAATAAATTGTACAATGCAAGCATGAACAAGGTATTATAATTTGTAAAAATTAAACTTTTTTTTAAAGGAGTTCAAAACTAAGTTCATTTTGGAGGAGGAACATTGAAATCCATGAATAGTCTCTTCTTTTTTTTCCATAATATGCATTTTCCACTAACTTTAGGAAAACTCATAATTTCTGATCCAAATAAAAAAAACTCTCATTGTTTATCAAAGAAAATTGCTTTCAACGAACATAAAAACATTATAGTACAACACAGCAGTTTCTTGATACCAAAGACATAACTATTCACTATCCTGACATGTATTGTCTACCCTACTTCCTTTTGTTCATCACCTATCCAAATCAGATTCATGTAGGGTGTATAAATAGAAACTTTCTAACAGAAACCTTGTAAGGCTGTATTTTTTTTTCTTATTAAAAATTAGCAATTAACATAATACTATCAGGATACTTTCTTTACCATGTGGAATCAACAAATGCCATTTTATTTAAACAGTCTAACTTACATAACTGTTGTTACTATTCCATTGCTTAAGTAAAGATTTGCATTCATTAGGAACTGATACCTGGCACTGTCAACTTTTTCTTAATTTTTCAAACTATTTGAGAGGCAAAGACAGCTAACTCCCATCCGCTGGCTCATTTCCCGAAGGCCTGCAATGCCTCTCAGCTGGGGCTGAAGCCAGAGCTGGGAATCCAACCACTTGATTTGTCATAGCTGCCTCCACAATCTGCACAGGCAGGAAGCTGGAGTCAAGAGCCAGAGCTGGGTATAGGCACGGTATGCGATGCTGGCATCCCAAGGAGCACCTAACTCCCAGGCCAAACGCCGCCATAAAGCACCTTATTTTATAAAATGAGTGACAGGCTAAGCTATTCAACCCCAGGTCATACAACAGCTTTTTTTTTTTTTTTCTTTTTTTTGACAGGCAGAGTGGACAGTGAGAGAGAGAGAGACAGAGAGAAAGGTCTTCCTTTGCCGTTGGTTCACCCTCCAATGGCCGTTGCAGCTGGCGCACAGTGCTGATCCGATGGCAGGAGCCAGGTACTTATCCTGGTCTCCCATGGGGTGCAGGGCCCAAGCACTTGGGCCATCCTCCACTGCGCTCCCTGGCCACAGCAGAGAGCTGGCCTGGAAGAGGGGCAACCGGGACAGTATCCGGCACCTCGACCGGGACTAGAACCCGGTGTGCCGGTGCCGCAAGGCGGAGGATTAGCCTAGTGAGCCACGGCGCCGGCCACAACAGCTTTCTTTACCAACAGTTGAAGACTAAATTATGATCAGTTTATTCTTATTAAGAATGTCCCAAAGAATATTTCACAAAGATGTCCAGGAGACACAGTTCAAGTCTGGAGTACAGAAGGCCCAATGCTGCTTTATCTAGAAACCCTGGGAATCTGACTTCATGAACCTACTATCTTAGCTTTACCAAGCTGGTATTAAAAGTTAATTTACATAGAGGACATACCTTTCTTTTTTATACAATTTTGCAGCATCTTTAACTTCTCTAAAAACATGGTCTACCTGACGGGTCAGCATGTCATGCTTCAGGCGCTCTAAGAGGTTAATCATGTCATCAAAGACAGAGCTCTCCATAGAGGCAAGCTGTCCCAGCTGCAGTTTACTAAGAGTATTATTCTCTGCAAAGACTTCCAATGCTGCCTGTTGCAGTTGTAGAAAGAACTGAAAGCAAAAACATGTTAGCAGGTTTAGTAGCATTCTTTTTTAACAGCTTGAAACAGAATTCATATGACATACAATTCACCATTTAAAGTACACAACTCAGTGGCTTTTAGTATATTCAGAGCTGTGTATCTGTCACCATAAGTTTAGAACACTGTCATTACCCTCCCCCAAAAGACTTATCTTTCAGCCCCAGTCCCCCCGGTCCCAGGCAGTCACTAATCTACTTTCTGTCTCTATGGATTTGGCTATTCTAGGCATTTATGTAAATGGAATTCTACAACATGTGGTTCTTTGTGATTGGCTTCTTTCACTTAGTATATTTTCAGGATCTGTCCACATTTTATCATGTAGTACTTAACTTCTTATTGTCAAATAATATTCCTTTACATGGAAATACCACTCTTTATCCAATCAACAGCTTAGAGACATTAGGGTTAGTTCTACTTTTTGTCTACTATAAAAAATGAATGCTGCTATGAATATTTATTACAAGTTCTTATGTGGACATGTTTTCATTTCTCTTGATATATACCTCGGAGCAGAACTGCTGGATCATATGTTGGAGGAGCTGCTAGACTGTTTTCCATTGCAGCTGCACAACCTTATATCCTCACAGGCTATATATGAGCATTCAAATTTCTCTATCCATGTTAACGTTTGTAGTACCATTTTTAATCCAGGTCTCTCACAAGGGATCAGGAACCCAAGTACTTGGATCATTATCTGCTGTCTCCCAGGTGCAGTAGCAAAAAGCTGGATCAAGCCGGCGCCGTGGCTCAATAGGCTAATCCTCCACCTTGCGGCGCCGGCACACCGGGTTCTAGTCCCGGTCGGGGCGCCGGATTCTGTCCCGGTTGCCCCTCTTCCAGGCCAGCTCTCTGCTATGGCCAGGGAGTGCAGTGGAGGATGGCCCAGGTGCTTGGGCCCTGCACCCCATGGGAGACCAGGAAAAGCACCTGGATCCTGGCTCCTGCCATCGGATCAGCGCGGTGCGCCGGCTGCAGCGGCGGCCATTGGAGGGTGAACCAACGGCAAAAGGAAGACCTTTCTCTCTCTGTCTCTCTCTCTCACTATCCACTCTGCCTGTCAAAAAAAAAAAAAAAAAAAAAAAAGCTGGATCAGAAGTGGAAGCAGGGGCTGGCCCTGTGGCATAGCAGGTAAAGCCACTGCCTGCAGTGTCAGCATCCCATAAGTGTACCAGTTCAAGTCCCAGCTGCTCCTCTTCTGATCCACCTCTCTGCAGTAGCCTGGGAAAGCAGTAAGAAAATGGCCCAAAGACTTGGGCCCCTGCACCCACGTGGGAGACCTGAAAGAAGCTCCTGGTTACTGGGTTTGGAATGGCCCAGCTCCGGCCACTGTGGCCATTTAGGAAGTGAACCAGAGGATGGAAGACTTCTCTCTCTTTGCCTCTGCCTCTCTCTAACTTTGCCTTTCAAATAAATAAATAAATCTTTAAAATAAATTTTTTCCCAAAATAAATTACAGAGCACTAAATCATCTTGTCAAGGTGTTTTTGTTTTTGTTTTTGTTTTATCAAAACTGGATAGAATTCAGCAATAAATAGATCACATTAGGCATGTTCAGGGCATTAAACACTTGGTTACTCTTAGGAATTTTTAGTTGCTTTTTAAAGTCCTTGGAATGAAATTCATTAAGGAATAACATCTAAAAGCCATTTAGAGTTTTCTCAACGACTTCACAGATAATGGACAAAACAGGCAAACCCTAGCAACAAGGATTTGGTGCAACAGTTAAGACGTATCCTATATCTGAGTGCCTAGGTTTCAGTCCCAGCTCCACTTCTAATTCCAGCTTCCTGCTAATACACAGCCTGGGAAGCAGCAAGTAATGGCTCAAGTGTTTGGGTTCCTGCCTCCTAGCTTCAGCCTGGCCTAGTGCTTGCTGTTGTGAATATCTGGGGAGTGAAACAGAAGACGGAATATCTCTGTTTCTCTGCCTTTCAAATAAGAACATAAATTAAGCCTGGTAGTCAATTTTTTAATACATTTACTACTAAAATTTAGACTACCCAATATCAATCTAGACCATATCTGTGTGTCTGTCTCTCTCTTCCTAATCTTTTTGCATGGTGATATGTCATGGGCATCAAACTGCTTTAAAAAAAGTATGTAGGCTGGCGCCGTGGCTCAATAGGCTAATCCTCCACCTGCAGCACCGGCACAGCGGGTTCTAGTCCCGGTCAGGGTGCCGGATTCTGTCCCGGTCGCTCCTCTTCCAGTCCAGCTCTCTGCTGTGGCCCGGGAGTGCAGTGGAGGATGGCCAAAGTGCTTGGACCCTGCACCTGCATGGGAGACCAGAAGCACCTGGCTTCCGGCTTCAGATCAGCGTGGTGCGCTGGTCGCAGCACACCGGCCGCAGCAGCCATTTGGGGGTGAACCAACGGCAAAGGAAGACCTTTCTCTCTGTCTCTCTCTCTCACTGTCCACTCTGCCTGTCAAAATAAAAAAAAAAAAAAAAAAGAAAAAAGAAAAGAAAAAAATGTATGTATTTATTTGAAAGGACGAGAAAGAGAATGAGAGAGATGATCTTCTATCTACTGGTTCATCCCGCAAATGAACCCAGGAACCAAGTCTGGGACAGGCTGAAGCCAAGAGCCAGGAACTCTATTCTGGTCTCCCACATGGGTAGCAGGGGCTGAAATACTTGGGCCATCTTCCACTGCCTTCCCAGGTGCATTGAAGAAAAGCTGGGGCTGGCGCTGTGGCTCAACAGGCTAATCCTCCGCCTTGCAGCGCCGGCACACCGGGTTCTAGTCCCGGTCAGGGCGCTGGATTCTGTCCCAGTTGCCCCTCTTCCAGGCCAGCTCTCTACTATGGCCAGGGAGTCAGTGGAGGATGGCCCAAGTGCATGGGCCCTGCACCCCATGGGAGACCAGGAGAAGCACCTGGCTCCTGCCTTCAAATCAGCGCGGTGCGCCGGCCGCAGCACACTGGCCACAGCGGCCATTGGAGGGTGAACCAACGGCAAAGGAAGACCTTTCTCTCTGTCTCTCTCTCTCTCACTGTCCACTCTGCCTGTCAAAATAAATAAATAAATAAATAAAAATTAAAAAAAAAAAAAAAAAAAAAGCTGGGACTGAAACTGGCACTCCAGTATGGATGCCAGCATCACAAGCAGCAGCTTAACCGCTCCACACCAGTCCCCTTCAGGCCGCTTTTAACTAACATGTTTCTCCCCATTCTTTGGAACAGTACTACTAACTTTCCTTTGGGGAACCACCTGTTCCCTACTCTGAGACAATCTGATTCCAGTGGTGTGACCCTACCCTTTGGGGCCAAGGATGCACACCTAACTTGGTAATGCTATACCTTGGCCACACTATTGATTGTGCAGGGACAGACGTGTGAGAGACCACCTTTCCTGCTGAAATGACCACTGAGAGGAAGAAGCACTGCCTTTCGAGACTGTGGATAGACCATATAAGCCTGAAGCCCGTTATGGCCACACCCAGAACCAGCCTGAGACTGACACCCGAAATAATCAACTTTAGAGCAGTCAATCGAATGCCGAATCCAGAAAGTGATGTAATCAAACCCCTCAACCACCCCCGCTCTCCAACTTAGGCCAATCTGTTACCTACAGCTAAAAAACTCCTCATTCTGAATTATGGGCTTGGTACAATATGGCAATGGACAGCAGTTAACAGTGGAGAATCTGAAATGTGCAGAAGCAGATTTGTGTCCTTTCCTTCCGTCTTTTCCTAACTACATGATACTCAAGAGCTTTAAGGATTTCTAATTAAAGCATTCACAGGCTGAAGGACCATGATGAAAGGACTTTTGACATTAGGACAGAAATTGTACTATAATTAATGCTAGGCCACAGAATTCATTCACCACTTGAAAAGTCAACTCTGAAATCTGGTTATTTCTCTGTTGACAGACTAAGTTAATTCAGCATCAGATGATAAGTTTTCTAAGGATAAGGATGATGCTAATTCATCTTTGTTAAGAGACTGCAGCACCAAGTAAAGTAGTTAATGACGCTCCACAAATAATTTCATTGAAGCTAAAAATCTGGCCCTGAATGAGTCTCTTATTAGATCATCTGGCACAAGAATCAAGAATGATAATTTTCGTTTGATGCCATTGAAAAAGCCTAGCAGAAAATGGAGCACTATGGGGGCTGTAAGAATAAAATACTTAACTAAAATTAGAAACACCACACAGAAAAATACAAAATGAATGTATGCTGATTAGTAGACTTCATAGAGATAAATGCATTCATCATTACACTGCATACTATATTCCTTCTATGAGATATTTTATTTTCCTTGCTCAGCAGGACATTATACACATGGATTTCAGCATTCTTAAAAAAGCTTTAAATAGGGGCCAGTGTCATGGCTCACTTGGTTAATCCTCTGCCTGTGGCACCGGCATCCCATATGGGCACCAGTTCTAGTCCCGGTTGCTCCTCTTCCAGTCCAGCTCTCTGCTGTGGCCTGGGAGTGCAGGGGAGGATGGCCAAAGTGCTTGGGCCCCTGCACCCCATGGGAGACCAGGAAGAAGTACCTGGCTCCTGGTTTCAGATCAGCGCAGCGCGCCGGCCATAGCAGCCATCTGGGGGGTGAACCAACGGAAGGAAGACCTTTCTCTCTGTCTCTCTCTCTCTCTCACTGTCTAACTCTGTCAAAAAAAAAAAATTATATGCATATAATGTGTTAGCACTATACTACAAATTTTTGTCTTCAACTATAATTTAAATATGTTCTTGAGGCAAGATTCCAGCATTATATAAAGGAGTGCCTGGGTGCGAGTCCCAGACCCACTTTTTTTTTTTATTTTTAAAAAAGATTTATTTATTTGTCCAGACCCACTTCTGATTCCAGCTTCCTGCTAATGTACACATTCAAGGGTTGTAGGTAATGGCTCAAGTACTTAGGTCCCTACCACCCAAGTGAGAGAGCCAAATTGAGTTCTGAGCTCCTAGCTTTGGCTTGGACCACCCCCAGTTATTGTAGGCTTTTGGGAAGTAAATCCGAAGATGAAGATATCCATTTCTGTGTGTGTGTGTTGATCTCTCTCTCATTTCAAATGAATAAAAATTAGGGGCAGGCAATGTAGTGTAGCAATTAAGTCACCATTTGGGACACCCACCCAAACCAGCTATTTGAGTCTTGCACATGGTGTCAGGGACCCAAAGATTTGGGCCGCCATCTGCTGCCTTCCCAGCTGCATTACCAGGAAGCTGGATTGGAAGTGGAGCTGGGACTCCAAAAGGCACTTTGATATGGATGCAGGCATCCCAAGCAAATCAAACAGAGCTCCAGGCTTCCAGCTTCAGCTTGACCTTGCACTGGCTGTTGTGGGCATTTGGGGAGTGAACCAGAGGATAAAATATCTGTCTTCTCTCTGTCACTCTACTTTCTACCTAAATAATCTTTTTAAAATTTTTGATACTGTACAAAAATTTTAATAATTGCTTAATGTTTGGCTCACATGGCCACACTTGGAAACTCTTTTTGCTTAGTATACTGCAATTTTATGATCAGTCCTCAGCTATAATTTTTAAATATTGACTTTATCATGTTTTAAGAGTGATTATATATATATATATATTTTAAAGATTTATGTATTTATTTGATAAAGTCAGAGTTACACAGAGAGAGGAGAGGCAGAGAGAGAGAAATCTTCCATCTGCTGGTTCACTCCCCAATTGGCTGCAATGAGCTGCGCAGATCCATAGCCAGGAGCCAGGAGCTTCCTCCAGGACTCCCACATGGGTGCAGGGGCCAAGGACTGGGGCCATCTTCTACTGCTTTCCCAGGCCATAGCAGAGAGCCGGATCAGAAGAGGAGAGGAGCATCTGGGACTAGAACCAGCGCCCATATGGGATGCCGCCGCTTCAGGCCAGGGCATTAACCTGCTGTGCCACAGTGCCGGCCCCAAGAATGGTTCTATTTTAAGTCTTTGGTTAAATTAAAATCTCTTCTGCTGTTTTACTTTACTATTTTCATTTTGTGACAGAATTCTATAACATTTTATATTTATAATGTAGACTCATTTGCATTATCCCATTTATTCAACACTGTCAGATTTTTCACTGTTTAATGTATATTTTACCATTCTGTGGTCATCATTGTTCTATTAATGCTTTCTGTCATCAAATCTACTTTATGGATTGGAGTGATATAACCCAAGCTGATTTTTTCTTTTTTCTATTTGAAAGGATGAGAGAGAAGGATAGAGAGACAGAGACCGACAGAATCTCTCCTCTGTTGGTTCACTGCCTAAATGTTCACAATGGCAGGAGCTGGGCCAGGCCAAAGCCAAGAGTCTGTTGTCATGGTACTGTGGTTATATTTATTTATTTTTTAAAGATTTATTTATTTATTTACTTGAGAGGTAGAGTTACAGACAGACAGAAAGAGGGAGAGACAGAGAGAAAGGTCTTCCATCCTCTGGTTCACTGCCCAAATGGCTGCAAAGGCCGGAGCTGGGCCAATCCGAAGCCAGGAGTCAGGAGCTTCTTCAAGGTCTCCCACACAGGTGCAGGGTCCCAAGCACGTGAGCCATCTTCTGCTGCTTTCCCAGGCCATAGCAGAGAGCTAGATTGGAAGAGGAACATCCTGAAGATGAACTGGCACCCATATGAGATGCCAACACCACAGGTAGAAGCTTAGCTCACTACACCACAGTGCCAGCCCCTGTGGTTTTATTTTTTTAAAAAAGGAGTTACTGGGGCTGGTGTTGTGGTATAGAGGGTAAAATCACTGCCTATAATGCCAGCATCCCATATGGGTGCCAGTTTGTCTCCTAGCCACTCCACTTCCAGTCAAGCTCCCTGCTAATGACCTGGGAAGAGCAGTGGAAGATGGTCACCCATGTGGGAGGCCCAGATGAAGCTTCTGGCCCCTGGCCCAGTGCTGGCCATTGCAGCTATATGGGAAACAAGCCACCAGATGGAACATCCCTGTCTTCCTCTGTCACTCCCTCTCTTGCTGTAACTCTTTCAAAATACATTAGTAAATCTTGAAAAAAAATTTAAAAGGAGTTACTAATTCATTCTTGGTCTCCCACATGGGTGACAAGAACCCAAGTACTTACTTGAGCCATCACCGGCTGCCTTCTAGAGTGGTGTACATTAGCAGGCAGCTGGAATCAGAAGCAGAGCTGGAATTCAAACCCAAACAGTCTGATAATGGGCTGTGGGCATCCCAAGTAGCATTTTAACCACTGCGCCAAACACCCACCCCATCAAGCTATTTGTATCTTCACAGTGGAACTTAGATCAGTGATCCCAAACCTGAGTACGACCTGTCCAAGAGGACGGTCCTGGAGGCATTTTGTGGATGTTATCATAGTACTGTGCTTATGATTTTTTACAAAGGAGTTATCTGTTAGAGATAAAACTAAAATGTTACTATGGAATATCATGTCTCAGATCTGCTTCAAAGTAATCAAGTTTAGGTGGTGGCAGAGAGATGCAAAGAAACGAACTTGGGGGCTGACATTTTGGTGCAGTGGGTTAAGCTGCCACCTGGGACCATATGGGTGTTGATTTAAGTCTCGGCTGTTCCACTTCTGACCCATCTCCCTGCTAACGTGCCTGGAAAAGCAGTGGAAGATGACCTAAGTGCTTGAGCCCCTGCCGCCCATGTGGGAGACCTGGATGCAGTTCCTGGCTCCTAGCCTCAGCCTGGGCTGTTGTGGCCATTTGAAGAGCACACCAGCAGGTACAGATCTTTCTTTCTCTCTCTCTCTCTTACCTCGTTCCTGTAACTCTGCCTTTCAAGTAAATAAATAATGTTAAAAAAAAAATACAAAATTTTTGTAAGAAGCTAGGTAATAGGGCCGGCGCCGCGGCTCACTAGGCTAATCCTCCGCCTAGCGGCACCGGCACACCAGGTTCTAGTCCCGGTCGGGGCGCCGGATTCTGTCCCGGTTGCCCCTCTTCCAGGCCAGCCCTCTGCTGTGGCCAGGGAGTGCAGTGGAGGATGGCCCAGGTGCTTGGGCCCTGCACCCCATGGGAGACCAGGAAAAGCACCTGGCTCCTGGCTCCTGCCATCGGATCAGCACGGTGCGCTGGCTGCAGCGCGCCGGCTGCGGCGGCCATTGGAGGGTGAACCAACGGCAAAAGGAAGACCTTTCTCTCTGTCTGTCTCTCTCACTGTCCACTCTGCCTGTCAAAAAAAAAAAAAAAAGAAGAAGCTAGGTAATAGCCAAATGGGTTCATTTTCCTATTCTATTTATATTTGTATATATTTGAATATAAGATACATAAATTAATATATTTATGATTCTTCATAATTTGTTATATTATGAACACATCCGAGAGGTATGAAGTATTATTCTATTTTCCTTAAAGTTTTGAATTTTATTGACTTTGACATCATGATTTAATCTTAGCCTTGTCAGTGATTGCCATGCATGAATATTTCCCACATGTGAAGTCCACAGAGGCAAAAGGTTCATTGTATAAAGTTTTTCATGAACGGCTTCTGCTTTTTTACAGTGCTTAAGTACTCTAAAATTTTAGGATTGTTTAACTATTTGAGGTTGATTAAGCAAAATAATGTACTTCAATCATACTTTTTAAGTTTGGCATCATTGTGATTGTAACATATTTTGCTTTCAAGAGATTCAACATTTGAAAGGGAAAACAGTTCAAATTACTAATGTATTACTTAATAAAGCACATTAACTCACAACATTGTCAGCCCAGTCTGCTAGTACAGTTGAGATGTAGTTCACGGCATTAAGAATCGCACAGTATCGAAAGCCAAGGGAAGCTCTAGTCTCTTCTTTCATCACTTGTGTTAACCGTATCCTAAAATCATCTACTAAGTCCTTCTGTAACTCCAAGAACTCCAGCTTACGGGAAGCCATGGGAAGATTTTTATACCTGTCTGTGGAGAAAGTTATGACTTATGAAGACTTTTGATCCAAGGCACAGTTACAGATTTTTCCTATTGACCTGCGTTAATGCCTAACCAAAAAAAAAAAAGTCATTCAAGTATGGGCCCATTTTTCCAATTCTGACTCTCTAAGAATATGGGTTTCACAAGTACATATATTTGTTAAAACTCATTGAAGAGTATACTTAATTTCTGTGCATTTCACCTTATATAAGTTAAACCTCATTTTTTAATTTTTTAAATATTTTTGACTGATTTTTCTTTAAAGATTTATTTATTCATTTGAAAGAGTTACATAAAGAGGAGAGGCAGAGAGAGAGAGAGAGAGAGAGAGGTCTTCCATCCGCTGGTTCACTCCCCAAATGGCCCCAACAGCCAGACCTGTGCTGATCTGAATCCAGGAGCCAGGAGCTTTTTACGAGTCTCCCACGTGGGTGCAGGGGCCCAAGGGCTTGGGCCATCTTCAACTGCTTTCCCAGGCCACAGCAGAGAGCGGGATTTTAAGTGGAGCAGCCAGGACTCAAACCGGCGCCCATATGGGATGCTGGCATTGCAGGCAGCTGTTTTACTCGCTATGCCACAGCGCCAGCCCCTAAACCTCATTTTTTTAAAGATACATGAAAAATTATATAGAATATTTAAGAAACAATTTAAAAGAGGGTTGGCACTCTGGTGCAGCAGGTTAAACCACTGCTTGTGATGGCAACATCCCATATAGGGATGCCAGTATGAATCCCAGCTGTTCTGCTTCTGATCCAGTTCCCTGTTATCACACCTGGGGAAGCAGCTGAAAATGGCCCAAGTACCAGACCCAGGTGGAGTTCCAGGCTCCTCATTTCAGCCTGGCCAGACCTAGCTGCTGTGTCCATTTGGGAAGTGAACCACTGGATGGAAGATCTTTCTCTCTCCCTCCCTCCTCTCATTTTGTCTTTCAAATAAATGAATTTTTAAAAAATTATATAAGCTTGGCGCTGTGGCGTAGTGAGTAAAGCCACTGCCTGCGGTGCTGTCATCTCATTTGGGTGCCGGTTTGATTCCTGGCTGTTCCACTTCTGATCCAGCTCCCTACTAATGTGCCTGGGAAAGCAGTGGATGATAGCCCAAGTGCTTGGGCCCCTGCACCCATATGGGAGACCCAGAAGCTCCTGGCTTCAGACCAGCCTAGCTCTGGCCATTGCAGCCATGTGGGGAATGAACCAGAGGACTTTTCTCTCTCTCTTGCCTTTGCCTTTCAAATAAATAAATAAATCTTTAAAAAAAAAAAAAAAAAAAAAAAAAAGTAGCTCCTGGGAGGCAACAACAATGGCTCAAGTGGATTCCTGCTACAATTCTAGAGACCTGGATTTAGTTCCCGGCTCTTAGCTTTGTGCTTGGCCTAATCCCAGCCATTGAGGGCATTTGGGAAGTAATCATCACATGAGAACACTTTCTCTGTCCCTCCACCTATCAAAATTTTTTAAAAATAAAAATGTATACTTACCAGTTATAACCAGGAGTAGAGTCATAAAAGTTTCTGCACAGTCTGGAACTTTCATTTCATCCACATCAGTGATATCCTTATATTGGGATACCCAGGCAGCTTCGGATGAAAGCATTGAGTCCATTTTTTGAAGAGCAACTGACATGAAGAAAAAAAGATTATGCTAAATAGGTAGTTGCAGGAATTCCTAATTTTTCAGCTCACAATGTCTTAATCAATGATAACTTTCTACAAACAATCTCACATTAATTGGAGTATATTTATCATGCTGTGTTTTAAACAGATATTTTACTCCTCCTAACCCCAAAACTCCAAAGTGTTATGCTGACTAGACAAACTATGGTACAGGCTAAGTAGGACCTGTCTGTCCCAAACTCAGCAGATGTTTAAACACTGATGTCTTACTGCTAACAGCTGACAGGCTGAGTGGAGACTTGATCCAATTGTGGCATCTGAGGGGTGGGAAGTGTTTAGACAGGGATGCGATGTTCTCAAAGTGTGGTTCTCCGAGAGTGTTGATTATTTGAGTTCAAGTTCTGCTTAGCTGTTCTGTCTCTGTTCCCTGGCTCACCATGCGATCACTCCACCACACCTGTCATCATACACCAGGCTATGGGACTGCCTCAACTGTAACTTCCAAACTGTATACTAAAATAAACCTTCTCTTTGCCAGGAAGTTCCTCTCAGGTATTTTAGTTAATGTAACAAAAAGTGGACTAATAAAAACTACAACCAGAAAGATCTTACCAACAGCAGAAATACCATGTGGTGAAAACCTACAACACAGTTATACACCTCACTGGCTTGATTAGTCCACTGTAGAAACATGAAGCGTACAATTCCAGGAAAAACTGAAGTTTCATGAGAAGAAAAAAGGAAACCCTGGCCAAACAAAATTTTGTTAGCTATAGTTCCTACCCAGAATTGGAGGAGGAAAACACCAAAAGTTATGTGCACAATAACAGACATTTCTTCCTACCCTATGGCCACGTTAGCACTTACATTTTCTCTCCACAGTCAACCACCTCTGAAAACAAGTTTCCTCTGACAGAATATGCATACAGTTAGCAAAGGTGCCAGGATAGCCATGAACACTGTGTAGCTCCCTTTCAAACAAGAGCACTTCATCCACCAAATGGCAGAAGAGATTGTCATCATAGAGTAGACAAGGAATGTCAGCAGCTAACTTCTCAAGAACAAGCATCATCAGACCCCGTGAAAATTCAAGCTGAAAGAAACATATAAACATGAAGTATATAAATAACGTGTTATTTAGCTATACATGTAACTCCAAAACTGAAACACTTAAGACTGAGTTCTTACCCTTGCATTTACTGAACAGCCTGCTTTGTCTAATATTGGCTGAATCTTCTCATCCAGGAATTGAGTGTGGTTTCCAATCCACATAAGTACCTGAGCCAAGTACCATTCAGGCTAGGGAAGGAGGTGAAATGGTTTGTATTCTTTAGTTATTTCAACTAGAAAGTTAGGATTAAATTGTTTGATTTAATTATATGCACAAAATGTTATATCAATTAGATAAAGATTTCTATATCTAAGACCATAAATTCATGCAAAGTTTACCAATCAAAAGTTTCCAAATGCACTCCCAACAAATTTCAAAAATGTAACTTAAGTCAACAATCATAAATGTACAATGCCATAAACATTTAAAACCTAGCACTTTACAGTAATATATAAAATGATGAGTATTACAAAGAACCAATGACCTCTATATTGTTTTTTGAAACAGCATTCCAAAATAAATTTTAAGCACCATGCTGGTCTGTATTACAAAATATAGCAGGTATACTTCTAGGTACAGAAAAGGAAATGTGGATACACAACATTTTAAATTGTCATTGCAGATGATTCTGCGAGCATTCCAAGTTTTGACAGACAGGGATTCAAAAGCATTTTTTGAGTGGTTAATCCCTGTTGTATGTTAGATGCTGGAAATAAAAAAATGAATAAGGGCAGCCTCTAATCTTTTTTTTTATTTGAAAAAATCTTTTTTAAAAAAATTTATTCAAAAGGCTTAGTTACAGAGAGAGGGAGATCTTCCATCCACTGGTTCACTCCTCAAATGCCCACAATAGCCGGAGCTGGGTTGATCCGAAGCTAGGAGCCAGGAGCTTCCTCCAGGGCTCTTACATGGGTGCAGGGTCCCAAGCACTTGGGCCATCTGCTGCTGCTTTTCCAGGTGCATTAGCAGGGACTCAAACTGGCACCCATATGGGATGCCGGCACTTCAGACAGTGGCTTAACCTGCTACACCACAGCACTGGTCCCAGCCTCTAATCTTAAGGGCTGCAAAGTTGTGGCTTAATGGCAGAACGCCAATTTCACTGCCATTACATGTCAAAAAGCTGGCAACATAACTCAAAATATTCTTACCTCAAATCATTACTACATGACCCAACTCTAGGCTTACTGCTTTGTCTCAGTAACTACTAAGTGCTCCTATTCTCTACCAAACCCCATCTAAAAAAGGAGACCCATAAAGTAAAATCCAACTAGAAATCCTTGGTACTCTGTTCCTTCCTGTGCAAACAGTTGCCTATCCCTTGATTTCTTTAAAAGTCTATAAACCCTCTAAGTTCCTTAATATATGACACATGCAATGCTTGGTATAACATGGTACTTAAAAACACTGAATTGAAAATACTTACTGAATCCCTGTTCCACGCACTATGTTAGCTGTGGCAAACCAAAGGATACATAAGGTAGTACCCTCCTCTTAGCAATTCCCAAGATTATAATTTTCAACAAATTCTATCAAATTTCATTGAAAACAGATGCCTGTAATTGTTTTCCAAGTCAAATTAAAGACAAATCTCAATAATATGCCCAATAAACTCCGTATAGTGCTTCAATTAAAATGTGATAACTTCCTCACAACTATTCCATCATTTATTCACATAATCGCTTGCAAAGCTATAAATCATTTTAGTATCAGCACCTCTATTCAAAAGCTAATGTTTTTCTATCTCTTGACTTTCCTTTTTTTCTCTTTTTTAAAGATTTATTTTATTTACTTGAAAGGCACAGAGCAGAGAGATAGAGCGTCCATGTGCTCATTCACTCTCCAAATTGCCCTAACAGCTAGGAGCCAGGAGCTTCTTCTTGATTCCTGCATCAGTGCAGAGGCATAAGCACTTGGGCCATCTTCTACTGCCATCCCAGGCACATTAGCAGAGAGCTGGATTGGAAGTGACGCAGCCAGAACTCAAACTGATGCCCATATGGAATGCTGGTATTACAAGCAGCAGCTTTACCTGCTATGCCACAGTGCCAGCCTCCTGACTGCCTCTTGTGTCATATGAATATGTTTATCCCTTGGTATATGCCAGGGTTTGGTTCCAAGACCCTCAGGGATACCAAAATCTGTGGATGCTCAGGTTCCTTATTTAAAATGGCCTAGTACTTGTGTTCAATCTATGCACATCTTATATACTTTAAGTCATCTTTCTATTACTTATAATAACTAATATAACACAAATGTTATATAAAGTGTTGTATTACTTAGAGAATAATAACAACAAAAGAAGTCTACATTTCATGACAGATGCAAATGTTGTAGATGCGGCTACATTGTACATGTAGCAGCAGTGAAACATTTTGAATCCACAGTTGGTTAATTCACAGATGCAGAACTCATGGAATATGGAGGAGCCATCTGCATAAATCTAAGAAGTGATCTGGATGTGAAACGCATGTGGACTCAGTTGTAGACAAAACTGCCACAGCCAATGCTCCAGCACACCCAAAGGCAAACTTGGGAAACAGGCCAGAGGAAGTTCTAATGAGTAGGCTGATTCCTACAACATTTCAACACACAAATCTCCAGTTACATCTATAAGGCAGTGACAAAACAGGAAAGAATAGAAATATGAACAGAGAAAAAACAAATGCAAACAGAGCCAGATTTTAACTTAAAACAGCAAAAGTATAGAAATCTTTACTATTTGCTACTAATAAAAACCAAGGACAAGAGTTGGCAAAGCTCACCTTGCTCATGACATTAGTTTGCCGGTTGCCTCTGAAGTGATATCTGAACCTCTTCTGAAGGGGTGTCAGCATGATCTGGATCGGCAGAATGATAGAAGGGGAGGCAGGAAGGGCATACTTCTCTGGGAGTTGTTTTGGCTCTGTAAGTAATTCATCTCTGACATAGTCAAGTCACGGAAAAGGATCCAGAGACATATGAACACTACATGCACACACACACATTTATGCATACACACACAACAAATTTTTCCAACAAATGTACCAGACACTAAGTTAATTATAATACTACTAAGTATTCTAAATTAAATGAGTCCAGTAAAATACTAAAAAATTGTTATTAATTTGTAAATATTTAAGATGAAGAATAGCAATAAGGAAATAAACTTAAGTAAACATTTGATAAAATTAACACTGCATTGCTAAGTTTTCCTCCCAACTGCCCATTTGTTCTGTTGTCTCAAGAAACCTACATGGGATTTGAACATGTGTCAGTCAGTCATATCTCGGCACTCTTCCTCACAGCCCTCGCAACATGCACAGTGTACTCCACAAGACAACAGTGTACCACTCAATAGGCATTTACCGATCAAATCCAAAGCTAGGACTCCCAGGTGGCTCCCTGGCCACTTTCAAAACCTTTTACTAAGTAGCCAAAAAATATACTCTAGCTAGAAGTGTTGTCAAGTTTCCAAATCTGACAAAGATACGAGGTTTGTAGTTTCAGAAGCTGACAGAAGAGTGTCTCCAGGTTGCTGTAAGTTTCAGGGGCACTAGCAGGTCGATTTAAGCCAACAGCTTGAGACTGGGGGGGTACGATGAATGGCCAATTAAGCTGCGCTAAAACTTCTTCAAAATCACTGGAACATAAAAAAAAACACATGTCAGTATGCTACCGTCAAATATCCATCTGAAAGCAATTATGATGAAATAAGGATAAATTCTCCACCTTGTAAGCTTGTCCTTGAGAATTTTATGCCAGAATTTAACGGTGGCTCTCATGAAACCAAGAAGATGAGAACAGGATGATTCCTTAAGCTTGATGTCAAGTTCTGCCATAGACACCAGAGTAGAGGCTGCCTCTGGCACATTATTGGTCATTAGATATTGCTGAATGTTATCACTGCAAAACAAAGTCAACTTTAAGAAGAGTTCAGAATCATTTCAAATTCAGATTTTCAGAAAAATTGCTTCTCAGCCATGTTTTATATAAAGGTATATCCAAGTAGGAAGCACCACCCTGAGGTGGCTTTTTTGCTGATGCCCAAGTCTCTCTGTTTAGAACCCTTCTAAGAGCAGCAGCCCATGTTCAAGACGCTTCCCTCTATTCTTCCTTTACCAGTCTTCCCAATACAACAGACGTCCTATGTCACATTCCCTCAGGCCCCACTCATGTCTGGTAAGTCTGCCTTTGCAGAAGCTTTCAGTATCTTAATCCAAGGGAATAACTGGTAGCATCTGGTAAGGTCAAGTGTGATAGTCTTCAGCTTGTCCAGATTTGCCCAGCTGAACTTGACTTCCAACTTCAAAGAAACAGAATTCCCAACCAAGAGTTGTATTATGTGAAAACAAAGACTACCATGTCTAGGAAATGTACAAATGTTACAAAAGAATATAAAATGTAAAAGTAACCACAGAATATAGAAGTATTGCTTTTGAAGATGGAATAAAATAGATCTCTATCCACACAACACCGAAGCATAAATGACACTGAGAGCATAGGAAAAGCCAGAGTAATGGTTTATTCAGAGTGACATTACTGCACTGTAGTATTCAAGAAACAGCCAATAAAGAGACGCTAGCTCTAGCAAGAAGAAACTACTTTTTGAAAGAGAGGAAGTACTACCAAATTAAAAACAGGCCATTGGAGGGAAATTTGGAAATGAGGAAAATCTCAGCAGTTAGAAATAGAGATGTTATTACAAAAGACCTAAGGGAAAGAACATATTATTAAACAGAGAGAAATGATTGTGCTCTGGTTGACTATGAATTTGATTCCTATTTCTGAAATGACTCCCTGGGCATATTTCCCTTTTAAACAATTCAGATGTCAGAAAAGATTATTAGTAACTATAGCCCTAATCTAGTTAATCTATTACGTTGGCTACCATAAGAGGCTTTTTAAAACAATTTATTGAGGTTAGCATTTGGCATAGTACTTTTAAGCTGCTGCCTAGAATGCCCACATTCCATTTTTTTTTTAAATGTCTTGTGACTTGTTTCATTTTTTAAAAAATATTTATTTATTTATTTCAACGTCAGAATTGTGGAGAGGCAGAGGCAGAGAGACAGATAGAGGTCTTCCATCCACTGGTTCACTCCTCGAATGGCCCCAAGGGCCAGAGCTGTGCCGATCCGAAGCCAGAGCCAAGAGCTTCTGCCTGGTCTCCCACACAGGTGCAGGGGCCCAAGGAATTGGGCCATCTTCTACTGCTTTCCCAGGCCATAGCAGAGAGCTAGAGCAGAAGTGGAACAGCTGGGACTTGAACCAGCACCCATATGGGATGACGGCACTGCAGGCAGCAGCTTCACCAGTGCCAGCCCCCACTTTCCATTTGAAGTACCTGGTTCAAGTTCCAGATTCACACTGCTGATCCAAATTCCTGCTAATAAACATCCTGGAAGGCAGGAGATGATGGCTCAAGTACTTGGGTCCCTGCCACCCTCATGAGAGACCTGGATGGAGGTCTAGGCTCCTGGTTTGACCTGGCCCAGCTTTGGCTAGTATGGGCATTTGGGGGATAAACCAGCAGGTAAAAGATCTGTTTCTCTCTCTCTGCCTATCTCTCTCACTCTCTGCCTTTCAAATAAATATATTAAAATTCCTTCAAATTTTATAAACAAGAATGGGATGTTCTAAAAAGCCGATGTCAATTTCTAGAATCACTGGTAACACTACAATTTTAAGCATATAACTATAAATGTAAAACTACTCATATATGTAAAATACAAATTTTCTTACTGTACTGATGTACAATTCTTTAAAATTCTGGAAACATTTACCAGACAAAGGTATATGTAGTATATGTATAACATAACATTAAATGTGTTAACCATCATAAACTTAATATCAGACTGTATGACTCCTGAATGATATTTCTCTGTCAGGTTTTCCAGGCAACATTAATGGTTGCTGAGAGCTTTGCACCAAGAAGGGTTAAAACAAAGCAAAGATGGGACATTTTAATTTGGAGAGGCTGCCGTACCATAGAATGAAGCCAAATAATCTGCCAATTTAGGTGGAAATTTAGTTTGTTGCAAAGGCCATTCTACCAGATACTAACCATAAGTGTTATATGTGCAACTCAAAAGGAACTATGGGCAGGGGATGGGCCTAGTGGAGAAGACACTGGCTAAGATACCCACATTCCATCATGAAGTGCCTGGATTCAATTCCCAGCTCTGACTCCTGATTCCAGCTTGCTGCCACAGTGGGCCCTGAGAGGCAGCAAGTAATGGTTGGGTTCCTCCCACCCATGTAGAATACCTGGACTGCGTTCTTAGCTTCTGGTTGCAGCCCAGCCCAGTTCTAGCCATTGTGGGCATTACGAGAGTGAACCAGTAGATAGGAGCTTTCTCACCTGTCTCTCTCTCAAATAAATTTTTTGTTTTTTTAAGATTTATTTATTTATTTGGGGTCAGCGCTGTAGCACAGCAGGTTAAAGCCCTGACCTGAAACGCCGGCATCCCATATGGACGTTGGTTCTAGTCCCAGCTGCTCCTCTTCTGATCCAGCTCTGTGCTATGGCCTGGGAAAGCAGTAGAAGATGGCCCAAGTCCTTGGGCCCCTGCACCTGTGTGGGAGACCCAGAAGAAGCTCCTGGCTCCTGCCTTCGGATCAGTGCAGCTCCAGCCATTGTGGCCAACTGGGGAGTGAACCAGCGGATAGAAGACCTCTCTCTCTGCATCTCCTCTCTCTGAAACTCTTTCAAATAAATAAAATAAATCTTTAAAAAAGAAAAAAAAACTACATTCAAATCTTAGGGACAGGCATTCTGGTGCAGCAAGTTGTACCACCACTTGGGATGCCTATATCCCATGTCCAGAGTGCCTGTTTGAGTTGCAGCTACTCCACTTCAGATCCAGCTTCCTGCTAATGCATCCTGGGAGGCAGAGGAAAAGGCCCAAGTGCTAGGGCCCCTACCACCCACATGGGAAACCTGGATGGAGTTCTGGGCTCCTGGCTTCAGCCTGGCCCAGTCTTGACTTTTAATCACATTTGGGGAGTGAATCAGCAGATGGATGATCTCTCTCTGTGCCTCCCTTCTCTGTCATTCTGACTTTCAAATAAATAAATAAATCTTTAAAAAAAAATCAAATGATAGGGGCTGACAGTGTAGCATAGCAGGTTTAGTCACCACCTGTGATACCATCATCCCATATCATAGCAGGTTTGAGTCCTGGCTTTTCCACTTCCAATCCAGCTCCTTGATAATGTGCCTGAGAAAGCAGAAGTATTAGGACCCCTGCCACCATGTCAAAGACCTGAATGAAGTTTTGGGCATCTGGTTTCCACAGGGGCCTAGTCCTGGCCCTTGCAGCCATGTGGGGAGTGAACCAATGGATGAAAGATTTCAGGGGCCGGTGCTGTGGCACAGCGGGTTAAAGCCCCAGGCTGCAGTGCCAGCATCACATATGGGCACCGGTTCTAGTCCCAGCTGTTCTACTTCCAATCTAACTCTCTGCTATGGCCTGGGAAGGTGGTAGAAGATGGCCCAAGTCTTCGGGCCCCTGCACCTGCATGGGAAACCTGGAAGAAGCTCCTGACTCCTGGCTTCAGATCAGCTCAGCTCTGGCCATTGCGGTCATTTGGGGAGTGAACCTTTCTCTGGCTCTACCTGTCTCTGTAACTCTTTCAAAGAAATAAAAATAATAATAATAATTCTTAAAAAAAAAAAAGTAGAAAGATTTTCATTCTCTGTTTCTCCTTCCCCATGACTCTGTCTTTCAAATAAAGTAAATCTTAGAAAAAACTTTTAAAAATCAAATGATAAAGAAACCAATCCATTTCATTAACTGAGCATTTCTTACACTTAAAGTATTCAGGAATACCTATTATTACAACTGAGAGTTCATTACTTAGCATTATAAATAACAGTTTTTATCATGTGTTTAACTATGAGACTTAAAATTTTAACTTAGATTACTTTCTTTCAAATGCAAATTAAGCTCCCTGAAAAGTTTATGTTCATTCACAGTAAAGGAGAAGAATCATTATCATAATGCTATTTTCATAACAACTAGTAAAACTACATTATTATAATCCTTAATTAACTCAATTATTTAATGGTGCACATGCACTTTCTAAGACAGATACCTCAAAGGAAAATAATAATTATGAGAACAAAGAGGCTTATTTTACCTTAGTTCTTCAATTTGTGAAATCCACTTAAGGTAAGCAAGATGCCGTTCAATCTCTTCAATTTGGTTAATCATGGCCCCAAGCCCGTCCATCCAGGGCTGAGAGGCCAGTAAATGGCTGTTGATGGAGTGCAAGAGATGCGTTTCTTGCTCCAGAAACTGATTGAGGAATTGCTTTGACTCTTTTGCATTTTCTAAGGCACTCTGAATTCGTTTAGGTATTTCAGATGAAATTGTAAGTACCTGGCCATACCAAAAACAAAACAAAACAAAATCTAGCAGCAATCAGATACAATTTTCACAGCCTTTTTTCTTAGTTCATTCCCTTTAAAATATTTGTTTGTTCCAACAGAACTGAAAATTGTCCATTAAAAACTTCAGAAGAAAGGTTTGATTTCTCCAGTTTTGTGCCAAAACCAAACATAAATGGCGTCATGTGAAGCACATATACATATGTACATACATGTGTAGCGAGGGGCCTACCATACCAGTCCCCAGCAAGCATCCAAGGATCCTGGGTTCGGCCCTCCCAGAGGGTACACTAAACATTTTCCTTCAAAAGCAGATGAGGGGTCAGCGCCGTGGCTCACTTGGTTAATCTGCCTGTGGTGCCAGAATCCCATATGGGGGCCAGGTTCTAGTCCCGGTTGCTCCTCTTCCAGTCCAGCTCTCTGCTGTGGCCCGGGAAGGCTGTGGAGGATGGCCCAAGTGCTTGGGCCCCTGCACCTGCATGGGAGACCAGGAGGAGGCACCTGGCTCCTGGCTTCGGATCAGAGCAGCTCTGGCCGTGGCGGCCATTTGGGGGGTGAACCAATGGAAGGAAGACCTTTCTCTCTGTCTCTCTCTCTCTCACTAACTCTGCCTGTCCAAAAAAAAAAAAAAAAAAAAAAAAAAAGCAGATGAAGCTCTGATTCTAAAAGGCTCAGCATCTGTATTTTATTCAAGTTCCAAGGTGATTCCCATATAAGCCCTGGCTGAAAATCACTGACTTTAGCAGGATAATATCCAGTTAATACCTTTAGATATGGCATTTATTAAATGGATTTTTCTTAAGATAAATGGGAAAGCATAGAAGAATATTATATTGTGCATCAGGATAGTATACAGAGTATTAGAGGAATTTCAATTCCATCAGATCACATTGGTTACTTATTCTGAACGCTGGGCTGGGTCAGGGACATAGAGGTAAATAAGACACATTATGCATCCTTAAGCTGTCTGGTAAAGAAGGGAGATGAATGCAAGCAATTCTGATAGTTGGGATCCAGGCACTAAGAGATACTCTAGGTATAATGGGGTACCAAGGGAGTGCTTCCCAAACTTGAATGTGTGTGGGAACACCTAGACACTTTGTTACAATGCAAATTTGACTCAGTCAGTCTGAGGTGAGCACTGAAAGTCTGCGTTTCCATCAAGCTCCCAATCTGTACTGTACGGCCTGCATTTCTAACCCTCATTCTCTAAAAGTAAGGTTCTGAAGCCCAAGTCAATTCAGCTAGCATGGCTCATACACAGACCACTCATCTAGGATGAGTGGGAATTTTCTAGGAAACTCTGAAAGGAAAGGATTTTCCAAGAGAAGGAACAGCTCAGACATGATCAGAGAACAGCAGAAAGCTGAGCAATACAGGGAACACAGATCAAAGCACTGATATAGATAGATAGATAGATAGCAGAAAATTTCTATAAGGAATAAAAAAGATATCTCTTGTGGCAAAATAAAGAAAACAGAAGATCAGTAAACTATCATCAAACACAAGACAGAATGAGGGCCTATACTGAGGTGGTAGTAGCAGGCGTGGGAAAGTGGGGAAGGATCCCAGAGATGGCGAGGAGGCAGGACTCAGATGACTTGGTGACAGCGGTAGGGAGTGAGGAGGAGGAAGCTAGGAGGTTGCAGAGTGACAGGCAGATAAATGGAGGTGCCATTATCCAGGGCAGAGAAGCCTTTCCGAAAGGAATCCGCGGCTGTGGACATGCTGGATTAAAGGTTCAATGAGGGACTTCGGCATAAGTTTCTGTGGTCTGTAGGGAAACAAGCCTGATTACAGGGAGTCAAAGACCGAATGGCAAATCAGAAAGTGAAGGCAGACACATGATGACTCTTCAGACTGACAGTCAAAGGAAAGCGCCAGCTCCCACTGAAAGATGAGAGGAAAGTTTTGCTTGTTGGTTTGGGTTGTATGAAAAAGACATGCGTATGTCCATAAGCAGAGGGAACAGGACTGGCCGAGGAGTGATGTTAAGTCCGCTAAGGTGGCAGGCATGAGCTGAGACACAAAGACAGCTTTAGGTTGATGCTTCCACTGAATTAAGAGGTAAAAATGTTTACAAACAGGTTTGTGCCATGTGGGGGAGACCGATTCATGTGAGATGCCTCAGTATTTTCTGTGTGGGAAAGGGAAAGGGCAGAATGGCCAGCTCTAGTGTCTCCGGGAAAATCTGGAAGCACAGCTGAGGGGAGCAGCAGAGGGCCCACATTCCTACGGAAGGACCACTAGGTGGGGCTGAAGACTCAGCCAGGAAGGCAACCGGACATTTGGGTGGCATCCCTCCCCCTGCATGGGTGACCTCCTCCCACGGGGCTCACAACAGCCTGCCTACAGGTGCAGAAAAGGCCATCAGGGCCTAGCAAAATCTTGAAACTAGCAGTGGAGTAGATGTGGTAAAAAGACAGGAAGATGTGGAGGGCCAAGGTGACTGGATGGGAGAACACAAGAGGACTGACAACCTGGAGAAAATATACCCACTTCCCACAGAGCTTACTTTAACCTACTTTGGTGGTTACACAATAACAATCTTTTAACAGACATTATTGCAAGTATAGGGACTTACTTGTTTAAGATTACATTCATTGGGTTTTTAAAAAATTCTTTTAAGTAATATGTAATAAAACATAAAATGAAAAAAAATCACCTGTCAACCAACCACCTACAAGAAACCATTATAATGTTACACTTTTCATGTTTCTCCTCTATGTGTGCATTTATAAAAATTTGGGATGATGGTGTTTAAACTTTTTTTGTTTACCATAAATTTACTTGTAAAAGCAGTTTCTGGGGCTGGCGCTGTGGCAAAGCCACCACCTGCAGTGCCAGCATCCCATATGGACGCCAGTTTGAGACCCAGCTGCCCACTTCCAATCCAACTCTCTGCTATGCCTGGGAAAGCAGTAGAAGATGGCCCCAGTCCTAGGGCCCCTGCACCCACGCGGGAGACCTGGAAGAAGCTCCTGGCTCCGGGCTTCGGATCAGCTCAGCTCCAGCCGTTGCAGCCATCTGGGGAATGAACCAGCGGATGGAAGACCTCTCTCTCTCTCTGTCTGCCTCTCTTTCTCTGTCTGTGTAACTCTTTCTAAGTAAATAAATAAATCTTTTTTTTTAAAGCAGTCTCTAAGTCTGTATAAAAAGCCATGAAAATGTTATCGTTTTTAAAGACATAAATCATACAGTAAGAACCCTTTTATATAGTTTATAAAATACATAGCACACTGTAAATCCTTAAAGCTTATTGAGCAAAAAAAAACTTATTAAGCAGGGAGTGGGAAGAAAACTCATTAAGCAGTTTAAAATGATTACACTGTCACAATCTATACCTTCACAATTTTATACACAATATTAGCTATGTTTATATTAATAAAGATGCATATATATTATACTTGCCTGTTCTTCTAACTGTATTTTATTTTTTGTCATTTGTTCTATGAGTTTATCAAGTTTCTTCAAAGACTGAAGGTCATTTCCAACTTCCTTTTCTATGAATGCAGACACGTAAGCCGAAAGCTCACTATTATCTATATTTTCACTGACATGTTCACTTTCAACAAGAGCTACATTATTTATGTCACCTAAAATAAAAGAATAACAATTACTCAACACCATTAAGGACTGGGGAATTAAAGGAATTATAAAAACATACAAAAGTTAATAATGGAAGAGCATACTACATGCATATAGGTATCTGAAAAAGTTCATGGAAAAATGGAATGAAAAGTTTCTTGTGGTGCAACAAAACCTTTGAGGGTAGGTGTGTAGCCTGGGAGTTTAGCAGCTGCGTCCTACGCTGCAATACCTGGGTTCGATTCCCAGCTCTGGCCCTTCTGGAGAGCACCCGTGTTATACAATTGTAGACAAACATACACATATAAGACCAGTTAATACTTGGTACTACATAAGCATAGTGTGCAGAAACAGCTCATCTCAAAGCTAACAGGCTAAGATCGCCTTTCCCTGCCGCCTACCCTGGAAGGCTGAGTTTGGGAGAGACGCCGGGACACAAAGCGCTACGGCGGATGCAGCCTGCTTGCTCTCCTCCACGATGCTCTCCGTTTCTGCGCCACTTTCAGGGCAGCACTGGAAGAACAAGGTGACAAAAACACTGACGTTAAAGGAGCAGATGGAACTTAACACAGGGCTCCCAAAGGAACCGACAGGGATCTGCCCGAAGTCCCAGGGCGGTCGGATACAGGTTTCGAAAAAGGGCTACCTCCCTGGTGCCACCCCTCCCAGGAGTCTGTGCCACCCTCGCCCAGCCACCGGAGCCACCTCCCTGGAGAGATCAGTCATCTCACTGGGACCAAGACCCCTGGGAATGCCGCGAGGGACTCGAACCTGCGCCGCGGGAACCACCCTCACAAGCCTCCAGCGCCACCTCACCAAGACAACCGGGAGGTTTGTGTCACCTCCCCGAGTCGCCAGAGACGACTCACCGGAGCTCCCGGCGCATCGCCGATCGGGGGCATCCCGCCTCCGCGCGAGTCCTCGGCTCCATTCGCAGCCAGCGTGGCTGGTGGAGTCCCGCTCCGGTCAGCGACAGAAACCAGCGCGCCTCAGCGGCTAAGGGACTTGGTGACACCGCGACTTCCTCTAGCCTCTCTCGGGTTCCTTCCTCTTGGCCAGAGCGGTCCTTCCCGCGAGCAGCCTTCTGAGCGCCGTCTCCCCCTGCAGGCCGGAGGTTGGAACTGCGGCCCAGGAAGAGAGCCCCCGCCCCCAAGGCAGCCCAGAGAAGGCTGGGCCCGTACCCCCTCTCTCTAAGCATTGGAGCTCTTCATTGTGGATCTTGAAGGTACTCCTTCTTTCACGGCATAAATTCAAAGTGAATCATTTACATTTATGCTTCAGACGACATCGAGATGTTCTGAAAATGAGTGCGCTTGGTGAGCGGCAGTGACTAGGTAGGTGTATTTTATCGCCTATTTAATTGGGGGATTGCCGATGAATGTAACCATCTCTAGATCTTTAGCGCTGGTCAGTTCCCTAAGGATCACTCTCCAATGTCCTGGCTGGATGGTCAGCGTTCTGGTTGCTGAATGAAGAAGAGGACTCAGCGCCCACCAAGCCCCGTGCTCAGTCCAGACTCCCTAAATAAGCCCTGTCTTCAGCTAAGGAGGAGGAACAAGAGTTAGCGGGAAGTAAGGCATGGGCCCCCGTATTTGACAATCTCAGAAACAACTGCCAAGTAAAGTGGTACCATAAAGACCGAAATAGACAAGAAAAGGAGGGGAGGGAGAATAAGAATAAACAGAAAGCCTAGGAAAACAGAAGCCATTCAGTGAGAATAAAACTAAATATACTCAAACCAGGAGGAATCTTCCAAAAACAAAAAAAAACTCGTGGAAAATTAATGGTATTTTTTAATGTGTGCATAGATTTCAAAACTTTTTTCCATCAAAATGCAACTTTTTTTTTTTTTTTTAAGATTTAGTTATTGGCCGGCGCCGTGGCTCACTAGGCTAATCCTCCGCCTCGCAGCGCCGGCACACCGGGTTCTAGTCCCGGTCGGGGCGCCAGATTCTGTCCTGGTTGCCCCTCTTCCAGGCCAGCTCTCTGCTGTGGCCAGGGAGTGCAGTGGAGGATGGCCCAAGTGCTTGGGCTCTGCACCCCATGGGAGACCAGGATAAGTACCTGGCTCCTGCCTTTGGATCAGCGTGGTGCGCAGGCCGCAGCACGCCGGCCGCGGCAGCCATTGGAGGGTGAACCAACGGCAAAGGAAGACCTTTCTCTCTGTCTCTCTCTCTCTGTCCACTCTGCCTGTCAAAAAAAAAAAAAAAAAAAAGATTTAGCTATTTGAAAGGCAGAGTAGCAGAATCTTCCATCTGCTAGGTTACTCCCCTTTTGACTACCACAGCCTTGGGAGAATCAGGCCAAAGCCAGGAGGCAGGAACTCCATTTTGCTTTCCCACATAGGTGGCAGGGGCTCAAGGACTTCGGCTGTCTTCCACTGCTTTTCCAGGGCATATTAGCAAGGAGCTGGATGGGAAGCCAGCAGCCAGGACTACAACCTGATATGGGGATGCCAGTACTGCTGGTGGAGGCTTCACCCACTGTGCCACAATACCAGTCCCAAAATAAACCTAGCTTTTAATTCAAGTTTTCCACAACTGTTCTTTTCCTTTTTCTTTAAATTTTTGCTTATTTGAGAACCAGAGAGAGATAAAGGACAAAGACAAAGAGAGAGTAATCTCCTATGGCTGGTTCATTCCCTAAATCCCTGCAATGACTGGGCTTTGAGCAGGTGCCAGAGCCAGAAACTCAGTACAGGTCTCCCACACAGGTAGCAGGAACCAGTTACTGAAGCCATCACTGTTGCCTCCTAGGGTCTATGTTAGCAGGAAGCTGGAGTTAAGGGCCAGAGCTGGGAATCAAACCCAGCCACACCGGTGTAAGACATGACCATCTAAACTAGCCTCTTTCTTAGCTGCTAGGCCAAACACCTGCCACACTATGGCGGTGACTGTTCCTCGCCACCGCCGGAGAATTAGGCAGGCTGCCCGCAGCTTGCCTTGACCGAGGAGGGGAAAGTGTGCCACCCGCCACTCAGCCTTCCCCAAACCCGGGGGACAATCAGGCGCGGTGTGGAGCCCAGCCCAAGCAGGGTCTCACTTTATTGTAAAAGGGAGGTGTATATATAGCTGAGGTACAGAGTGGATGGTACCGAGAGGATGAGCGGATGCGGGCAAGGGGTGGGGTGTTGTGATGCAAAAAGGTCCTAGCCACTTCTATTATACCACCATAAGGATCCTTAGGCAGAAGCGCCCTGGGGCTGGGGTGTTTGCTACCAGGGATTTGAAACTTAAAGTCAGGTTTTCAAATTCGAGGCAGGCTCAGGAAGTTCCTCTAGGCCTCTCAGGATTCAGCATCCCCCACACACTATGAACTTTTTCAAGCATCCTCCCACAGAAAGATGGTGGGAAATGCCAAAATGGTCAATTGCAACAAGTGAAATGACTGTGTGAAGTTGAAGGGGCAGGCATTTGGCACAACGGTTATGAAAGAGAAGCTGCTTGGGATACCTACATGCCATCTCAGAATGCCTGGGTTTGAGACCAGCTCCCTACTCCAGTTTCCTGCTAACGTGCACCCCGGGAGGTTGCAGGTAACAGCTCAGGGAGTTGAGTCCCTGCCAACTACATGGGAGATGTGGATGGAATTCCAGGCTCCTGGCTTCAGGTTTGCCTAGGCTCAGCTGTTGGGGGAGGGAACCAGCAAATGGAAGACCTTACTGTCTCTGTCTCTTTCTCTCTATGCCTTTCAAATAAATTTTTAAAAAATTAAAATTTCAAGCAAAAGAAATACAGAGAAGGAGGAAACAGCTAAATGGAAGGGTGATTATAAAATCCCTGCTGTTTCATGACAAACTTTATGAAGCTTCTAGAGAATTACTGACGTGTACAAATCTGATAAAGATTTAAAAGTAAAATCAAAGGGGAAAAAAGGTTACCTTAAACCCAAGCTTTTCCCTCTGAAAAATTCAGTTTGGTAAAAAAAAAAAGATATAAAAATAAATAATTTAAGATTCAATGATTCAGTATATAGGTTCAATAACAGAAATGTTTGCAATGACCAAAGCAGCATAGAGAACAATGAATTACTGTCAGGGAGTGTGGAGAAAGGCATCTAAGATGAACACAGTATTTTTTTTAAAGATTTATTTGTTTATTTGAAAGAGTTTCAGAGAGAGGAGAGGCAGAGAGAGGTCTTCCATCTGCTGGCTCACTCCCCAGTTGACCACGGCTGGAGCTACCCTGATCTGAAGCCAGGAGCCAGGAGCTTCTTCTGGGTCTCCCACATGGGTGCAGAGGCTCAAGCACTTGGGCCATCTTCTACTGCTTATTTGGACACATCAGAGGCAAGAATAAGGAGGCAAGAACAGATAAATTGTGTATGTCAGCACTTAGCAATCCCTAGCACTGATGCAGGGTTAAAAGCAAGGTACTGGGGCTGGCACTGTGATGTAGTAGGTAAGGCCACCAGCCGCAGTACTGGCATCCCATATAGGCCTCCTCTCAATTTTGCTGTAACTTAAAAAAGACAAAGGTTTTGAAAAGTCTTCTCTGACATAGTAGCCCAATTCCTTAGAAACACATTTAGAGACGAGATCTTTCACATTACTTTGGCCAGTAGCTGGGTCCATGGTCAAAATTTACCCTTTGGGTATTTCAGCCTGAATGGCCTTAGAAAAAAAATCTATGTGAAACATATATTTTCTGAAATGGGACTCTCTTTACGGGCTCTTATGGTTAAAATGACCCAGAAATGTTCAAAGCTTCTCCCTCATTCCAACTCCCACTAATAAACAGTTAACAGGTAAATTAGAAGTCCATCCTAACAGGTGCATCATATTCAATGTGCAGTACCTTATTTTTTTTTTTAAGATTTATTTATTTATTTGAAAGGCAGAGTTACAGAGATGCAGAGCAAGTGAGCAAGCGAGCAAAAGAGAGAGAGAGAGAAAGTCTTCATCCACTGATTCATTACCCAAAGGGCCACAATGGCCAGAGCTGGGCCAATCCCAAACCAGGAGCCAGGAGCTTCTTCAGAGTCTCCCACATGGATGCAGGGGCCCAAGAACTTGGGCCATCTTCTGCTTTCCCAGGCTATAGTAGAGAGCTGGATCTGAAGTGGAGCAGCCGGGACTCGAACCAGCGCCTATATGGGCCTTCCCACAAACTTCTTGCTCTCCTCCGGGCTATGTACAACCTGTCTCATTATCAATATCCTCCACAGACTGGCACAAATTAACGAACCTACGCTGACAATAATTATTCCCCAAAGCTCACAGTTTATGTTAGGGTTCACTCTGACTGTTGCACATTCCATGGACAAATGTATAATGACATGTATGCACCATCAAAGGGTCATACAAAGCCTTCACTGCATTAAAAAGTCTCTTGTGCTTCACCTATTCATCTCTAACTCCCAGCCCCATTTCCTCCATGTCTTTTCGTGGCTTGCTAGCTCATTCCTTTTTAATACCAAATAATATTCCATTGTCTGGATGAATCATAGCTTACCCATTCACCCACCGAGGACATCTCAGTTCTTACAAGTTTAGGAAATTATGAATAATGTTGCTATAAATAGGTGTGTGTAGGTTTTCACTTAAACCTTGTTTTCAGATCTTTTGGGTAAATACCAGGGAACACTATTGTTGGATAGTATAGTAAAAGTATGTATAGTTTTATAAAAAAAAAAAAAGCCACCAAACGGTCTTCCAAAATGGCTATACAATTTGCATTCCTATAAGTAATGAAAGACAGCTCCTGTTGCTCCCCACCCTTGCCAGCACTTGGTGTTTGCAAATTGAAACAAAAAGATACCACTGCACATCTATTAGATTGGCCCAAATTCAGGACACTGAGAAAATATTTTTGCATAGTATAGGTGCCTGGCTCAGTGGGTTAAAGCCCTGGCCTGCAGTGCTGGCATCCCATATGGGTGCCAGGTTCCAGTCCCAGCTGCTCCACTTCTGATCTAGCTCTGTGCTATGGCCTGGGAAAGCAGTAGAAGATGGCCCAAGGCCTTGGGCCTCTGCACCTGCGTGGGAGACCTGGAAGAAGCTCCTGACTTCTGGCTTCAGATCAGCACAGCTCTGGCCATTGCGGTC